GGGGTCTACGCCCCCTCGTACAAATCAGATAGCCTCGTGTTTCGATGCTCTTTCTATTACTTAATCTGAATGAATTCCGTCAAGCAAAATAAGCAAATGCATTATTTCCGAATAATTCTTTCATTTTTTCATATATTAATGGACAATGATAATTGACTACGTATTATTTATACAATGTACCGAATAAAAACTTCATGTGAAAGGTTTCCACATCACTCATTCGTTTTAAAGTAGAAAGTGTAATTGACAATTAAAGTTGACACGCTCATTTACATGTCCGTCCCACACGCAATGTGTCAAGGATAAATGTATATTAATGAAAGAGACCTTATGTTTGATAAAAGAGAAATATATAGTAAGAAATATTCAGTCATTAATGTAAAGAGTACATCAAATATAAATGCTCACACTATCAACATTTTATATTCAAAAAATATTTTATCAGAATATCTAATGATACATTTCTACTGTTTTTTTTTACCAATATTTGAAATATTTATGGAAAATGTGTCCTTTGAAGACAAATCCACTTTATGCATTGCATGGAAGGTTCATTTTGAGGAATTCCCACGAGTACTATAAAAATAACAGATAACAAAAACGTATGTTTTGTTCTAGACGGTGTTCATAATCCTTTTAGAATAATATAAAGACTTTTATACACAAAATAATTTTGATTCATAACATCACTTAAATTGTATATCATTAAGTCAGACATTTACCACGTAAAATGAATTCTTTCTCAGGAATACCATCAAAATTTAATTTTATTGAATATGTCAGATAAGTAAATAGCTTGGACTAATTTTTTATTACTTTGTACTGTCATTTAGACAATGTCATTTAGACGATGCAAAAAATATCAAACACACATGCATTGTATGAGCAATAGCCAAATTATACCGGTATATATAATCATGCGGTAACCCAGGCTATTTACCGTATACATGTATTAAATGTAGTATATACGGAATGTGTACCGTGGGTTCCGACGATGGTGTTGGTAGAGATATAAGTTTTTGATATGTGACTTGTACATATGTGTGCCATATTTCCTTAATTTTAATTTTTGTAAAATTCTGCTTGTTTTGCAAAGGAAAATGTTATGCCGTATCGAACTTAGTATCTTTGAAAACTATTCTCTTTGAGAGAAAGACAACCACTGTGTTTTAAAAGTTTTGAAAATGTTAGGAATTCAAGACAGAAAGCAACTAAAAGAAAAATAATGGCCGGACTTTTTTAAAAAAAAAAAAAACTTCTTTCAAGGGACTAATTTTCATTAACATATCGTTATCCTATTTAGTATCTAAAATTTAATTTCACAGAAGACACATTTATCCAAACAAGAATAAAAAATATTTCTTAATTAAATAAACTTTATAATTTGACTATCAAGTAAAGCTTTAATGTTTGATTTGTTAAGCTTCTTTCTGGTTTATCTCTACTACTTATTTCGTATATTTGGTTTTGGAGTGTGTATACTACATGTAGACGGTGAAAAGGGGTTTGTGGGTTGTACATCAAAAACATTGTAAAACTCCATAGTTTAGACTTCTATACGAGTGTGTCAAATACCAATATTCGTAGACCTTTTCAAGTTTTTTCTTTATTCATGGTTAGATTGTTGAAATATTTGTATACTTACAAACCCGTCTAAATTTGTATTTTGTATGATGTTTGAATATTCAAACAAAGTAAATCTTGATAAAAAAGGTTTTTACTAATAAAATATGAAAATGTGGAATCCCTAAAGAACACACCAAAACAACAAAATTGATAATATTGCAAGTTCAGATTGAATGAGCCTTTTCATGGACGGTAGTGGCGATTGCAGGCTATTGTTTACACCCTAGCACCGACTTATGCAAAAGTCAACATTTAGTTATGGAAATGGTGAAATTTTGAATTTGGAAACATCCGCACATGTGTTAAAATGGCGGTGATCATGGAACATTCGATTAGACAAGTTATTCCCATTTCATAAATAGTGGTGTATGGTTCACAAGTAAAGAAATATGTGTGCCTTAAACAAGCAAACAATTGGTCGAACTAATAAAACTGAAATTTAATCAGATGTTACGGGGCTGCATATCATAGATAGACGTCAAAAGACAATTTTAAAAACTGTTAACATATCCTAAGATTGAGTAAACAGTATCAAATTAGGAATACGGAACCATCCACAAGATAAATATGAACACATCAATAATGGCGCGCTAAATGAGTTTTAAGGGCATCTGGAAACACTGTATTTTTGTTCTCTCTGAACCATTGCCAATGGTTTGGACTGTTACTGGACGAAAATGTTGTTACAAAAAAAAACAAATTTAGATTGATTTTCGCATTTATTTTGTATCGCGTTTTTATATTAGTAATCATGTATTTTTAACTTTAAAGAATAATATTGAATGTATATTGTATTTGTTTGATATAAATCTTTGCAATAAATAAAATTGATATCATCTTGACATCAGTTTTATTTGATTTTGTAAGTAAATACTTGTAATCGTTATACATGCATTGCCTTCTTTTACCAAGATGAAAATTATTTTTGTTTAATTTTCTATCATGCATTATAGCAGTTTTCTTCTTTTTTAAATTAATAAGATATCAAAAATTCATTTGCTAGCTGTTTTTTTCACATATGAAAGCACATTGTGTCTCACATTTTTTCGTCTTCAGAAGGGACAAATATGTCTTTCATAATGTATAAATAATGGGTGAAAGTATGTTAAATGCTTATCACTGGTAATAAGTATCGTTGAATGTGAAATAATTTGTAATAAAGGTAGTAAAATGTAAACAATGCGGTTTTTTACTTCCATACAAAATACTAAATTATACATTATACATTATAGCTATACTAATTGCTAAAGAACAGAAGAAGCAAATATAGTTCAACTTTATGATCTACAATTTCTTTTTCGGAAACCATAACTAGACACCAAAAATGAAAAGCTTTAGAAATGAAAAAGATATACTTTTTGCGGCTTCAAGTTTGTATCTGTTTATTTCTACTAATGGTTGCGGTTGTGCAAAGGTTTATTCCTAGATGACACGAATAGGTGCAAGGCTACTTTTTAAGAAGGGCACTGTTATTTTAGTACAAATATGCATGTAAATGAACCACCCAATATTAAAAATAACTTGTAAACTTATAATACTGCAGACAAAGATAATTAGTGTAACATATAACCTGGTAGTTATTTTAAAATTTGTGATCATTGTACGTATAATATGTAGAGAAAAGAAAAGTACAAAAATAAACGCTTTGTCCTCCTAACAAAATCTAGATTTGTTAGCATTATGAATACCTAACATCAAACTTGATCAATGAATTGAATTTTAAGTGTGCCAGATTAAAATATGTAAGTAATTGATTACCGAATAATTCATACTTTTAATGTATATATATCATTATATCAAAGATAGCAGCTAGATCATTGGAGTAATTAATTATACAATGTACCGAACAAAATATTCAGTTTTCCGCATCCAGCGTTCATTTTAATACTCCACTTTAACACAGAGATTTTTTTTCAGTCCATTTTCAAGGCTTAAATGTTCCATTTAAGGATGCTTCACATATTTTTCACAGAGCCTCACTGGTTTAAAAATGAGTTGATTAGTACCTTAATAAAGAGATGAGGAAGTCGAACATCTTATTTCAAGTTAGATTGTCATAGTTAATGTCGGCTGCTAAGATCGGAATATATTAAAATACAATAACCCCACTTTGATGAACATCAATATTTATCCCGATCAACATCACCATGTCATATTGCCGTTCTATTGGACTCAGTTATGACGTTGAAAAAACATTTTAAATGCAATATGTTAAAATTGTGTGCAAAATTTATAGATATTGGGTTATTATTCTTACTACAGTTGAACTTCTATGAGTCGAACTTCCATTAGTCGATTTTCTCGATGTGACGAAGTAAAATTAGTAATACTATTAATCGGTCAAGACATAACATAACATAACATAACATAACATAACATAACATAACATAACATATTCTTTTTTTCTCTTAATACATGTAAACATGCAAATATGAGGAATTTACAATAAATGATATAAACATACGAGGCTAAGCAAATCAAAGAAAACCAATACTTTATTGATAAATAAATGTATGAAGGTACATGTAATTCACGTGCACAGTGCACAAAATGTATTTTATGAATGAATTCATAGTTCATCTACACGATGTCTAGATAATAATTTATTTAGAAAGATAAAAGAAAAAGAGATACATAAAGCTTAATATAGAAATGGTGAAACTTTAAAAAACTTGAAAATATTGCAAGTTTTGTTTGATAGAGCCCTCACATGTAATGTAAGCTTCCAAGGCAGTTATCATTGGACCTTCAAAGTGACGCTTTTGTGCTAATCCGTGAAAGCGGCATATGTTTTAATTAAAGGTCAAAACTAAATAAATGAAATTTTGAGACTGGAAGTAACTGCGTATCATAAATGTTTAAACATCAGTACAGTATAAACCTGTTGTTAAAGCCTTAAGCATAACTGTCTAACACAGCTAAAAATAACATTACAAATAATTCTTAGCAAATCAATTAACGATAATTTTTACACCATGTTTCTTTAATTCATATACATTTTGTACTTGCATTCAAACAAGCTATTTTTTCTTTTAAAAATGAAATTTTTACTAAAGACGACGTCCATTCAACTTTATTCAGTAAAAAAAAATACACAAAATACATTAATAAATCCTTCAATCTCAGAGAGGGAAAAATGATTCTGCAAGCTTCGCCTTCACTTTTATTAATCTTAATTTCATGGTGCCTTAAAGCAGTTTTTTATACAAATTATCAGCTTATCTAATGAAAAGACAAATATAACAAGATCTCGTAAATTCTCGTTATCACGGTGACCATCTTGACGATGATAAATGGTGTTTTGGTGCGGGGCTATAATCTTCCTAATAAGAGGAGTGGCAGGCTATTTAAACATTCTGTACTGGAGGGAATAGTCTTAGAAAAAATATTCAGGACACAGACGTGACATAACTATTTCAACAGAGAGCTAAGGTAAGTAATTTTGATTATACATTTATGTCTTTTTTCCATATAAATACATGTTGCAAATAGCATATATTGAAATAAAATAATATGACGTTGTTACGAATGACACCGGTTTAACGTACCAGTAAAATTAATGGTTATTTCGAACAACGCTTTACACGTTATACTTTAAATGTATACTTGAAAAAATATTGCATACAATTTCTTGTCAAGAAAATATTATATACAAAAAATGTTTTTATTTATGTATATTTTTGGATGATTTCATTCAATTAATGTTTATTTGTTTTTGTTTTTCAATGTGTCACATATACAAACGTACTTTAATTGTATATTATTCATCCAATTTTAAGCAAGAGTCTATTAGCGTTCTTTTTTTCAATTCCCTTAGTGATCAGTTTCATGAATACAAAATATACTTGATTCTTAAAACCTTTGAATAAAGAAGGGTTGTTAAATTTTTCTTGTACATTGAACAAATAAAACATTAAAAACATGTGCTATGAGACATAAAGTCCCACTGATCGACATTTGAATGTATATATTAGTACTCGTGTGTATTTTTGTAACATTGCTAAAAAAAACTTTGAGACATTTTAGTGATTTCTTTTGTATTTTTGTGTACTAGTATTTGGTATAGTTGCAGTTAAATCGTACCATCACCTTTCATGAACTTTTAATTAGGATAATATTTTTGAAATGTTCAATAGTACATGTACATATCTGCATATTTTACATTTTGCTTGTCCAAAAAAAGTTGACGTTTTAAATAAGACATTCATTGAATGAAAGCAATACACTATAGAACGACCTATTAAAAGACTGTCAGTATTGCGTGAGGAAATTAATTGAATGAACATTACGAGACATAGATCTGTTTACCTTTAAGACATTTATCTATTGTTTCTGTTCTATTTCAGAAGAAAGATGATTCAAATTGGAGCGTTTACGATTTTAATCATGGCAATGTTCCTGAAGACAGAGGCTGTCTCGATCTTTCTACCACAAAGCTTCCTCTACGGTCAAAACAATCCTTGGTCGAGACACATGTACATATACCCTGATCCAAAATTAGATTATGGCAATGAAGTCAACGTTGACACATTTCCCGGAGAAAAATTCATTTCTTATGACCAAATGCAACCATATGTTCCGCTCAACATGCCGTTGCAAAAAGATCGCACAGCACTACCGTTAGCAGCGAAGCGTGCATTTAATGGCTTACCTACGATAGCTAAACGTATTCACACGTGCGCGTTCATGAGACGCCTCGGACTTCCGATCGGTTTATGCTTCAAAGGCTCTAGAAGCAGGGTAAGCCAGCAACCAGCAGTTGAGGAGGAGGATTCACCGGAACAAGATGCCTATGACTATCTTCAAACACAATGGCCAGTTCAAAGCATGTTTGGCGGTGCCGTAGGAAAGTGATCATGATAATGATGATTTTTGCTTCGGTTACGTGATAGAAAGTGTATCCCACGCTTGTATATAACAAACGTTTATATTAAGAAGAATAAAGAATAAAACGCTGAATCTGTGTCATATTTTCGATTTTTTAAATTTTCAAATCTTCCGATCAAATAAAAATAGTAAATAATGTGTACACATTTAAAAAACATTTGTTGTATAATGTTTGTCCGAATATTCTAAGTTACAAGCGCAATGCTAGAAATAGTTCTACATTTCATTTCTAGATTAACCCGTGAAATCAGTATTAATCTTGTTTAACCAACATTAAAAATCAATACACGTAAATAAGTAAATAAATCGATCGATCGATCGATTAATCAATCAATCAAAATAAGATAAAACACCAGAAACACAAATAAAACCACACGGAAAGAATTACATAAATCATATGAAAAAACATTCTTCATCAAAATAACTTAATCTGCTTAATGTTCGCTTAAGCCGGTGCTAGGGGGTGAAGACGTCACATTACATTTATCACTGCTGTCCATGAACAGGCTCAGTCAAAATGATTCTGTAACATTTTCAGTTTTTGCCGTATGGGTCGTTAAATTTGATCTTTTTGATAGATTAGATGATTCAACTTTCTAAGAAAATCTGAAGGCAGGAGAATATTATTACCATGTACGCTTAAATCCTCAAAATGTTCGATAATTCAATGTGTTTTAACACCCTCGCAACTTGCAAGTGTTAAAAAGAGAGTGGTTGGGTTTTTAAACTTTAACTGACTTGATACAACGAAAGATTTACACCAATACAATTAACCTTGAACAATGGAATAAAGCCAACACTGACTACAAATCGTAATTTTGATGTAATTTTACTAAAGTCAAGCAAGACTGAGGTCCATTGTAATTATTCTTTTCATGAAAAATTGAAAAGTACATTGTACCAGTTGTTCCTAACAGACCTTGACCTTGCATATATTAACCTAAATCACATGTTTCACATCAGTAGTCATGATAATGATAATTTGTGTATCAATCCCTCAATAAATATGATTAAATGGTCTGAATACACATTTTTATCTGAACTTTGACCCCTATGTGATACCTTGACCTTGGCCACAGGGACTTTAATTGAGCATGTGACACTCCACCCCACAATGGTGAACATTTGTGGCAAGTTATGTTGAAATCCCTCTATGCATGTCGAAGATTTGCTCCAGAAAAGAGTCTTTCAATGACCTCTAAGTGTGACACCGACCTTTGACCTAGTTTTATGCGCAAAACACAGCTTTTCATAGTGGTAAACATTTGTTTGAAGTTTCATTACAATCCCTCCATAAATGTTGCAGATATGCTCTGGACAAAATCTCTATATTTTATCACCTTTAGTGAGATTGACTATCATCTTTAGTGACCTAGACCTTGCACATATTAACCTAAATCACATGTTTCACACCAGTAGACATGATAATGACCATTTGTGTTTCAATCCCTCAATAAATGATGACTTAATGGTCTGAATACACATTTTCATCTGAACTTTGACCCCTATTTGTGGCCTTGACTGCAGAGACCTAAATTTTCCATGTGACACTCTGCCTCACAATGGTGAAAATTTGTGCCAAGTAATATTGAAATCCCTCTATGCATGTAGAAGTTTTGCTCCAGACAAGCGTTTTTCAATGACCTCTTAATGTGACCTTGACCTTTGACCCGATTCATATTCCACACAGCTTTTTATAGTGGTGAACATTTGTATGAAGTTTCATTAAAATTCCTCTATGTGTGTAGGAGATATGCTCTGGACAAAATCTCTAAATTTTATCATCTTTAGTGACCTTGACTATCATCTTTGGTGACCTTGACCTTGTTTATATTAACCTAAATCACATGTTTCACATCAGTAGTCATGATAATGACAATTTGTGTATCAACCCCTCAATAATATGATTAAATGGTCTAAATACAAGTATTCATATTTTTATCTGAACTTTGACTGCTTGTGACCTTAACCTTTGCTGCAGGGACCTAAATTTTGCACACGACACTCCACCTCAAAATGGTAAACATTTTTGCCAAGTTATATTGAAATCCCTCTATGCATGTAGAAGTTTTGCTCCGGGCAAGTGTTATTCAATGACCTCTAAGTGTGACCTTGACCTTTGACCTAGTTACCTGGTTCATGTGCGCAGCACAGCTTCACATAGTTGTGAACATTTGTATGAAGTTTCATTAAAATTCCTCCATGCGTGTAGGAGATATGCTCCGGACGAAATATTGGACGCCGCCCGCAAGGGGGGAAATTATAATAAGACTCCTTTTCCAAATGGGCGTAAAAAAAATTATACTGTCTTCTGGGTCCAGTCGCTTGTTTCATTTTCCGGTGGACACTGTAATTATACCTGTATAACACACAGCTACGCATAATATTGACAAAACTCTACACTGCATAATATTAACAAAACTCTCGGCATAATATTGACAAAACTCAACACGGCATAATATTGACAAAACTCTTCACGGCATAATATTGACAAAACTCTACACTGCATATTGATGAAACTCTAAATGGCATAATATTGGCAAAACTCTACACAGCATAATATTGACAAAACTCTACACGGCATAATATTGACAAAACTCTACACAGCATAAAATTGACAAAACTCTACACAGCATAAAATTGACAAAACTCTACACAGCATAAAATTGACAAAACTCTACACTGCATAAAATCGACAAAACTCTACACAGCATAAAATTGACAAAACTCTACACTGCATAAAATTGACAAAACTCTATGGCGTAAGTTAAAAATCAAAGACATATGGTAACTTCCCTATTCCACAATAGGCTAATCTTTCCATGGTAACATAAACAAGCAAAATGTTTTATTTAAGTAATTGTTTATTACATATATTCAAATATAGTTCATCAATTATATTTATAAAAAACACAATTACTGAAACTTGTTTATCATATATAAAAGTATGTAAAAACAGTAACATTTCACTAACAAAATCAATTAGAAGAGACTAACATATGTTACATAATAAATTACATACAAAAATGCTTACTGCATAGAACAAATTGGCCATAGAACTATACAGTTAGTCATACACATGTATATACACACAAACAATACTATGTCAGAAAATAATGGACGTCTCTTACCTTTACCTGGCTCAACATCTTTTATGGGCTGTCTATCCTTCAATCGGGACAAAACCAATCATCATTTTAACTGACTGAATATAGAACAGTTCAGGCCATGAGCAGACGGAACTAAAGTGTTCTGAACTGATCACATGGGTGGAATCCGTCACCACCAACAGACTAAAGGTTAAAGAAAGGCTGGTAACAAAAATAAATCTTACCAAATCTCTAACAAGAGTCTTCTTTCCCATGTTATATCAATTATACATAATTATGTATATCCAACATAATATTTAGTAGTTTCATAAAGTACAACTGGTAAGATGTTTATAAAGAACACATTATAAAAAATCAGTAGAACAATTGGCAAGTTACAAATAACTGAACAAAATACATACAAAAATGTAGCATTTTACTCTCTTTCCTAATCTTTTTAAACCAGTAATTTTTGGTAATTATTGATGAAATTCATGATTAAATGTAAACAACTGTAGAAGCTTTACAAAAATGTCTTAGGCTAAATTTGAAACTGGTCAATGTGTACAATGATGAATAAGTTCAATACAGTTTTGTCTGATTTCTAAAATACATGTATTTGCCTTGTCAAAGTTTTGATTCATACAGCCCTTAATAAATGACCACATTATCATCAGTATAACTGGTATTTCTAAAATAAAGAAGTTTTTTGCTATCACATGCTTTGTCACTGTGGTGAAACGAAGGTGTGTTACTTACTACTAAGGGCAACGACTCTAAGTAGAGATTGCATGTATGGATTTGTAGAGAACAGCACAAAAATATGGACAGTGAACATATATCACCCGCTTTTTAAATCTTCAAAATGGCAGTAAAATAGCATTGTTCTTTATAATGAGTCATTGAACATGTACCTATTATGATAATTATTACCATTAACATTAACCCTAACCATGCTTAATATCTTAAATGGATTTGCCAATCTTTCAACACAGACAAAACCATTAATCGATTATAGGGGAAATTATCTTAAAATATGTACTGACTGAACGGCAAACAGTGGAGACCATGATCAGCTAGCACTGGTGACATTGGAAGAATTTGTTGCCGCTAGAAGACTTTAGGTTAATATGATAAATCATATTTGTATAGCACACTTTTCATTCACATATATACATTCAAAAACGTTTCATCAATTACAAATCAAAATCAGACAATACACATGTACTTATATAAAACATTAAAAGAATTACTCATATAGAAACAAGTTTCAGTCATATTTTGATCATTCTTCTGCGTGTATGATTCAAGTGTATCATTTCCATCATCCAAAATACTAATTACAAAGTACATGTCATAAATTCAATGCAAGAAAATGACACCATGATTTCTTGTAATTTTTTCTTAATGTTTACATAATCTTTTTGTAATGTTTACATTATGTTAAACAACAGAATGAATAACTTAAACAATAAATATAATTTGCTGTAAATCTATATGGCAGATTTCACTGGGACTTAAATAGTTGTTTGAAGGAACTTGTGGTTAGTGTGTATATTTCAATCACCTATAAATTCCAACAAAACATATAAGTCATATCACAATGTTGGTCTATTTTAAACAATTAAAGTGACATTATGCTCTTTTTCATTGTCAAGTTTTGCTGAATAAACTTTGTATTTCAATAGATTGACTGTTGACCAACAGTTGATAAAGAAATATGTCATAAAATATAAATCTGCCTAAAATATAAAAAGACTGTCCGCTCTTTTTTATAATTTGAATGTTAATGGCAGATTCCAATGGATATTTATTGAAATTCCCTTGGGCTACGTGACTTTTTAATCATTCAAGAAAATTAAGTAAATTAAAAAATGAAAGAAATTATGGCAAAATGTAAACTCAACTTTTTAAACGTTGAATTCAAAGGTATTCAATTTTATATTTTATCCTGCAAAAATAATTTATAATCCTCTAGACCCACGGACATTTCTGTTAACATTGTTAAGAATTGATATTTTTCAATTTAAAAAAAAAGTGGGACAGTATTTTTTATATTATAGGTAGTTTTTATACTTCATCCTACACATTTTTCCACAATAATTGGTAAATATATCCATTCTAATAGTCAATAGCAAAAAATGGGCATAATGTCACTTTCTTTTTAACTGGATTTATAAAAGAGAACTAAATAGCACTGCTATGAAGAGTTACTCCTTGAGTGTCTATTTGTACGTCTATCTGCAATGCCCACAAGAACTTCCCGCACCTCTGTAGCATATTCTGTGGAATCTGGGGGATCTGTCAACTCCCATGTGTCTGCAGTACTTGATACTTTTTCTCTACATATTGGACATGTACGGTGTGTATCCATCCTGCAAGCATTAACAGAAATTTTAGATACAGTCTAGGGAAAACATAATAAAGTTTAAGATACAGTCTAGGGAAAACATATAAGTTTAAGATACAGTCTAGGGAAAGATAAAGTTTAAGATACATACCATAAGTCTAAGATACAGTCTAGGGAAAACATATAAGTTTAAGATACAGTCTAGGGAAAACATATTATAAGTTTAAGATACAGTCTAGGGAAACATACCATAAGTCTAAGATACAGTCTAGGGAAAACATATAAGTTTAAGATACAGTCTAGGGAAAACATATAAGTTTAAGATACAGTCTAGGGAAAACATATAAGTTTAAGATACAGTCTAGGGAAAACATATAAGTTTAAGATACAGTCTAGGGAAAACATATCATAAGTCTAAGATACAGTCTAGGGAAAACATATAAGTTTAAGATACAGACAAGGGAAAACATATCATAAGTTTATGTTGCAGTCTAGGGAAAATATATTTTTTGACTGTCATCGTGATGAAAACATATTTGAATCACTTTTGAGTTACAAAGTTTTAATCTAAATCGGCTCTAACATACAAAAACACTTTTTTGATACACCATTACCATTACTTTTATAAGATAAAATATATCAACCAGAAATAAATTCACATCAGAAAACAGAGCATCACTTTTGTTTTCATTTACAAAGAGGTAGTAAAGTAGGACAAAGTTTTGACAGTGTTGTTGCACAGCCTTATAGGCCTGAGGGATAATTTATATATGAAGATCAAGCACCTACCATTCTCTACAGCAGTTTTCACAGAATTTATGTGCACATGGTAGAATAGTTTTAGCTTCATTGGTCATGCATATACAACATTCTTCCTCAAGTTCTAGACTTTTGTGCTCCGCTCTGAAAATACAAACATTATAGTACATTCATGAAGCAGGAAATACACTTACAAGCAAAAGAATGAAAGCATGCAGATGAAGGTACATTAAATTACATTTTATAACAAATCAATTGTTCTGATAAGTTATCATGAAATATAACATGAATTGGACACACACAAAAATCCTGGATAGTGTAGGATAATCTCATATAAAAAAGTACATGACATAGTTCTAAGACTTGGATCAAAGAATTTTGTAAGTTCACAAAAATCATATTTCATTCAAAGCCCATGTCAAGACTTATAGGCTTTGGACATGGACCTTCAATTATTATCCCCAAAGACATTTATCAAGTTTAAAGTGTTATCTTCAGTAGTTTTCAACGCAAAACTTAAACCATTTTTTTTTTAATTCACAAGGGCCATAATTCAGATAAAATCCATGCCAGAATTGAACAGTCAGGCCAAAAATTATGTAAAAGAAAATACATGTACAACAACTCACTCATCTAGTATCATTGAGGCACAGATGTCAATTCTGGCAGCTGAACCACCTGGTGAGGCCGGTTGAAGGTTTGATACTTGCTCCGTTATCTCTTTATATACCATGATGTATTGACGTAGACTTAGATATCGGACTGAACATTCCTTGTTGGTTCTTGGGAGAACCTGTTTATATAAAGAACATTTAAGAACAACTATATAAAGAGGGCTTTCAAACAATATAAAGACTGACCAGTCAGACTTAATTAAAACATTTAAAATATCAAAGCCAATGACTGAGGTATGTTCTGTTTGGCACTATGCCAACTAGGAAAATGATTAAATGCTAGGACGTAAAGAGTGGCAAGTTTATTTTCTAATATCATACAACACTTTATTACAACATGAACGGAAATCATCACACAGCCCCTTGAAAATCAAAGTTCAGTAAGTTGTCATTGACATGACTAATAAATCTCAAGTCTTTGGATGTTTAGAGATGACAATTCAAAATGTAAAATATGTCTAATTTATAAATTAAGCATTATTAAGTACAGGTTTCAACAGTATTACATTAACTTCAATATAATGAAATTAAGACCCACCTTTTTACACTCTACTTTAACTGTTCCTTTCCATAGAATAGTATCATCTGACCCTGACACTACATTGAACTGTAACTGTTTCCCATGCTGGTCTGTAAATGACGAGGTCCTAAAATAAACAATGACATGATTGACCAAATCTTAAAGATGTGACTAAGTCCTAAAATAATACAATATCATTATATGATTGACAAGGTCCTAAAATAGTACAATATCATTATATAATTGACAAGGTCCTAAAAAAATACAATGTTAATATGATTGACAATGTCCTAAAGATATTCGATGAAAATATGATAGATGAGGTCCTAAATATACTGTTACAATACCATTAGACAATTAACCAAGTCCTAAATATATATAATTAGAATATGATAGATGAGGTCCTAAAACAATATACTACCAATTATATGATTGATGAAGTCAAAAAGATACACAATGAATATATGATATACAAGGTCCTAATACAATATACTACCATTATTTGACTGATGATTCTTAGTCCTAAAGATAAACAATGATAATATGATAGACAAGCTCCTTAAATAATGCAATACCATTGTATGAATTATAAAGTCCTTTAAATAAACAATGATAATATGATGGACAAGGTCCTAAAATAATACAATACTATTATATGATTGACATAATCCTAGAGATATACATGTATAATGATAATATAATAGATGAGGTCCTAAAATATACAATAATTGATGAAGTCCTAAAGATATACAATGATTATATGATAGACAAGGTCCTAAAATAATACAATTCCATTAATGATTGACCAAGTCCTACAATAGCACAATGATGATATAATTATACCACACACTGATCAACAGTGAAAGTTACAACACCATAGCTTATTTATCTAATAGGTATTTCACAACATGAAACAATTTGAACATTATATGTGTTGTTTTATAAAATATTCATGTAATACATGTATATTTATTATACAATATCAATATATTGGATCAAACAACTGACACAGGTTAAGTTTTAAGGTATAATTTGACATTTAGTCTCTCAAGTCTTCATCAGGGTTTGAAAAATAATTGTTTAAGCTCCACTATGAAGAAATTGTTAAGCTTATCTAAACCACAGTCATCACCTTAGTGCAATAACTGGTCAACTCCTGTTAATTTAAAAGAACTTAACCCGTTATTGCACTAAGGTGATGCACTCTCTACTAGTATTAGGAACTAACCAGTACTGGTGTCATATGAGGAAACAATAGGGCACAAACCCATGATCCTCGGGTTGAGTGGAGAACATCTAAGCCACTAGGCAACTGTTCCCCACTATTAGTGTTACATCTGACATCAACTATTTAATTCAGAACTTCTAAAACTGACTTACCTTAACTTTTAAATGTCTTTGGTAATTGGTCTTTAAAGATTAAAAGTTAAAAACATTTCTGTATTTTAAAAAAATATATATATGACCATGCCCCTATCTATATTTACATACTCTCTTAAATACAATGGGTAAGGAAATATTTTCATTTTTTGAAGTATGAGTAATAATATTTAAAAAGAAAAAAAAAAGAGAGATTTAAAGTCTCTAACATTGCCATTTAAAAAAACACTTTTCAACTGTTTTCATTAAACAGAAGTATTAGTAAGACTTTAAAAAACCCAGGAAGTATATGACATTGTAAATCAAATTAAAATAGGTCAATACCAGGAAACAAGCAATCCATGACCAGTGACCAGTTTTTTACTTCCTTGTTTTATATTTCCAACATACAATGTAGAATCTAAGATAGATTTATACCATCATAGCAAAAACATACTTTAACAATAACGCATACATGTATATAACATAATGACATGTGACTAAACTATAAACTTGTACCCTTACCACATTAAATATCTTAAAATGGACTTGTCCATCATTTAATCTTGGTTAAACCATTTATTATTTGTAGGAAAATTTAAAATATGTATTGATTTAACAGCCAACAGTGCAGACCGGGCCTTGAGGTTAAAAAACTTTTTCCTGAGTTCTGTCTCAAATCTCAGGAATTTCATTGGTCAGTGTACATTCTGTGTCAAATTTTGACCAATCAGATACCTGAAATATGAGTTTGAGTGTAGATAATTTCTTTATAACCTCAGACCCTGGATCAGATTTAACATATGTGCGGCTGATTTTGGTCTGCACTGGTTGCACAGACGCAGGCTAACAATTGACAGAGAACATATTTGAAATCTGTAAAATGTAGATTGTTTAGTTTGTTTTTCATTGCTCTTATAAATATTCTACATACATGTACTTAATTGAAATATCTTAATCATTCTCTATGCAGTTAAATTATCACTTAAGGAAAAAAATCAACATCTTAAAAAATCTACTGCTCTGCAAATACAGCAACTGCTCTGCAAATACAGCAATAATAATGCAGTTCAAGCAGTTTATTCAAAAGAAAATGACAATTATAAATAATAAGCTACTTACACCTGATTTAACTCTGTAACCGAGTCTTTGAACTCTTTATACGACAGTTTGGCAATCCTCCGGAGTATTTCTGAATGCTGTTTTAGTTTACCATGTACAGTATCTACAGTATGGTGATCATGTGTACTTCCCTGCTGACCCATTGGTCATATATCAATAGCTCACCATCAAATAACATGAATGTATTTCAAACCATCTGTTACCTCTTTCTCTATAATGAATCAGCCATACAGAGAAAGGAAAGTTCTGAAAATATAAAACGCTCTGTTAATAAATCTATCAACAACTACCATCTTTAATCATAATGAAGAACTACATGTAAGAAAGAATTGTTTATTAATATTCAGACAGGTACAAGGGGTTGGTTTGTCTTCTTTACTTATTATTATAGCATTATATTTGATACTATGTATGTATAAATCTAAAGCCAGAATATTTTCACATATCCTAAACCAATATTGTCACGACAAAAACTGTCTGGTTGCTTCATAGAATTACTTGATAGAGAAAAATTTATTTAAACAAAATCAAATTTAAGCATATTTATAACATATCCTCACAACAATTAGACATATGTACATGAACATGATATGTACATTGATTTTGTTCCAATAACTTTCTATTTCTCATCCTTTAGAAATACCATGATGCCCATACTTTGTGAACCACAGTACTGAATGCCCCCCTCGCAATATTCTTTCTTTACAAGAGGGCCATGATGTTTTTGATTCGCTCACTTGAGATACATTCCTAGAAATGGTTTTTGTTTTCAATGCAGAATTAATGAGACAGGTTACATTTGGGCATGTCATATTTTACCCAAGCAGCATGATTTATAAAAGTTTGATAGGAAATGCAACATGAGAAAAAGCTTGTTTAGGAAAATGGTAATTTGTAAAGGTAAACACTGTATGGTAAAAAAATAATGGAAAATATTTGAAGAATCATTTCAAAACTATACATCATCCGACCATTATGCTGTTTTCCTCAAGATTAATTCACTCCACACACCCCCTCCCGTAAGAAAATATGGCAAATATCTCCCATTTCAACTAAACAATAAGTAAAGTAATTTTGATTCAGAAACTTCATTTTAAGCATGATCACACTTCTTTTTAATAAAACAATTTTCCTGATTTTTTTTTAATTATAAAAAAACAGCATCACATAAATGTATGTGACAAATAAAAATGTCTGTTTTCTGCAGAAACAATACATGCACAATTCTAGATGTTGTTGATTTCAATTATATCAGAATAAATATTTTTTTAATATCTTAAGATTGTTTTTCATTGGCTATTCTTTCAGTCATCGAAAAACAAACATTAAAATTTGTAATTTACAGCAAAATTTTCCGTTGTTCAGAAGTAACTTTTTCAAGACAAAGTTTACTGGTATTTATTTGACATGTCCAAAATAATGCTGGTAAATATCTTTTAAGTTCTTTAACAAATTTCTTAGAGAATAAAAAGAAACATGAATTTTGCAGCATTATTCTTTATTTGAAAACAAATAGAGAATATTTTTGAAGTTGACAATCTCTTAAAATGATTGCCATTAATAATCACGGTAATTAAATGATTGCTAATTATAATTATGGATTACCGATCAACAATGACATTCTTAGTTCCAAATGAATGTCATATTAGTTCCAAATGATTGTCACAAGTGCGTATGTGTACTGTGTATTTTTCCGTAACTATATGTACAGCCTGATCACTATCTCGTGATATAGATCCATCATTCATCGCTTCATTGGTGTAGATGTGCAAAGGACCGCCTACTGATAGATTTAAACACAAACGTATTTGTGGTTGTAAACAATCAGTAATATTTATGCGTCCTCTGGCCAAATTAAGCGTACACGGAAATATATGCATCCAGCTGAAATAAATATGCGTACCATGACGCCGAAATAAGTGTCACCGAGAAACCTGTATTTTACAACTAGAACTCCGCGAGTCGTATGTGTCGCCTTGTGAACAATATAGTTTAGGAGAAATGGCCAGGACAAAAATGAAATTTGAAAATCAACAAAGGGCAATAACTCAAAAAATAAGAAATGCAGAGCAGCAGTTTCTGTGCACTGCACTTTTAATCAATAAGATCTATCATCCTATTAAGTTTCAAGTCTATAAAGGTTTTATAATTTATGAGAAATGGCCTGGACAAAAATAAAGTATGAAAATTAACAAAGGGCAATAACTCAAAAAATAAGAAATGCAGAGTACCAGTTCTCGGGCAGTGCACTTCTTCTTAATGAGATCAATCATCCTATAAAGTTTCAAGTCCATAGATTCTATACTTTAGGAGAAATGGCCCGGACAAAAATAAAGTATGAAAATTAACAAAGGGCAATAACTCAAAAAATAAGAAATGCAGAGTACCAGTTCTTGTGCACTGCACTTATTCTTAATGAGATCTATCATCCTATGAAGTTTCAAGTCCATAGATTCTATACTTTAGGAGAAATAGCCCGGACAAAAATAAAGTATGAACATTAACAAAGGGCAATCACTCAAAAAATAAGAAGTGCAGAGTACTGGTCCTTGTGCACTGCACTTCGGGTCATTATAAGAAACATGCATACCAAGTTTGAAGTCAATCCGACTTGTAATGACTGACTTATGCTCCAGACAAGCTTAAGGGGACGCCGACGCCGACAACAACGCCGACACTGCCGACAAAAGTAACCCCTATTTGTCGCCTTTTTCAAGGCGACACAAAAACTGTATTGTATAATTTTTTGTATACTTTCATTTTGATTTGATCCGTGAAGACTGAAGTGTCTGGGGGTGGGGATGTCTTGTTCACAAACTGATAAGGGGGGAATAGGGCGGAGAATAGTATGATTAAAGATTGGAATAGCCTTCAACGGAGATGATTAAATCAAAATGAAAACCACAATATAAAAAAGACCTTCATTGATTTCAGATGACAAAGTTGAACTATATATGATGTTTCGAGACAGATTCGTAACATGGATTGAATGCATAAATAATCAGATAATGAAGCCTGAAATGCATTCGTTTCTAGAATTTTGTTGCTGCACATAACAGTAATTTTATCTTTAGTATTTCTATCTTACTTCAAAGCATATCATTTTCTGAGATATAACATTTACCTTGATAATCTGGAAATAATAACAATAATGTAACGATAAATTCACCCGGAAATGTGAAATACGTCATCAATATGGTGAACTTCTTTAAGTGGCGAAAAGAATATTGAATACACGAAAAGCGGTTTCCCTAATTACCGACAAGAAGTAAAAATGGAAAATTACGAATTAATTTCACTTATTCATCATTTAATAATCACAATTCCTAATATTTTTAACATGAAAAACATAATAGATTCGTCCTGAACCATATATCACGAAAAGATATAAAGGATGCCCAGATCGATAGAGTCACAGTACCTGTGCTCGACCAGCCCAGTGCTCGACCAATACTTTTATTTGTGTACGATTCATGCATTGTATGACGGTTGTCCATTCTGAAAAAGTTTGATGTGACTAAAATCTGTGATGTAGGTAAAAGAACAATGGGGTAACCAAATTAACCATATAACTGTCTATCTGTTAGAACGCCCTTCTTCCGTCTGTTTCCCAACTTGGTGTCCGCTCAATACACCTTTAACTGTTATGTGGGCTGATTTCATAGAGCTCTTGTCTTAGGAAACGAGATAACCAATTTTAGCTCTTAGGTCAAAGGTCAAGGTCACATCGCCAGTTAGTATAAAATCCTTATTTGCCGAAAAGCAAATAACTATTTTATATTTTGGGCTATAGATGTAATGTACTTAGGTTTGTTAAACTTATTCATTATCCCTCATGTACAGACTCAATCAAACCGAGTCTGCAATTCTCTTGTAATTTTGTTGTGATTAATGCTTCCGAGGGATCACTTTGTTTCCAGATTTTTGTAAAGGAAATTGCATATGGCCATAAGAGGAGTTATATATGTACACTGTATATAATAAAAATGTTGGAGCATATATATATATAGCTTTATCACAAATTTTTATATATTTTCCATTTATTCAAAGTGTGTTATATAAAGTTGGGGAGGACACAAAAGAACATTAAAAGTATAAGTAAGAATCCACAAAGAAAGTCCAAAACGGCAAAATTAAAAAAGGTTGCAGACTCGGTTTGATTGAGCCTGTTCATGGACGGTACTGAAAAGTGCAAACTACTGTAACCTAATTGTTTGAGTGTACACAATTACCTTATCAATACGGTACTGGTTGGAGAGATAACTCCGATACAAAATCATATATTTTTGCAATATCTTAACTATCTTTGTGTATATTTAAACATTGGCCCACCTAAACAAAGTTTGGTTAAAAGACTTTACGGTATAAAAATGTTTATGGAAATGAAAACTGATACTTCTTTAGGTCCTGAATGAGGTATCCAAAATATAGCTTTTTCACCCTACATCCAACATTTTAATTTTTAAGTAAAGAAAAGCTACAAAATCAGCATCAATCATTTAGTTTTATATTACTGGTTGGAGAAATAACTCCGACACTAAATCACAGATTTTCTACAATATCTTAATTATCTTCCTATATTTTAAATACTGAACCACCTAAACAAAGTTCAGTTCAAGGACTTTACATTACACCACAAAAAATATGTATGAAAATTGAAACTGGTACTTTTTAAGGTCCTGAATGAGATATACAAAACATGATCTTTTTACTGTAGATAAAGTCGACACTGAAATTAAGTATAAAATGACTGGAAAATCAGAATCAATAATTCATTTTACATCTTATATGTTTTATCTGTTTTTGTTTTGTTGATATTTAAGCAATTTTTCAAAAATCCTTGCCTAGTCAGTGGCCTGCGATCAATATAATTCTAACTTCCCTACTGTAATTCTGTAAAAAGAACGTTTTGCGGCAGTTTTTTTTTTGTTTACAAAAAGTTCAGTTTATTCGAAAAACATTGAAAAGTTTACCAACTTATGAAATCATCACATTCTGTCCTGCTCCTATACTGATAGGTGACCATGTGCTTGTTTGTTGAAAAACAAAGTTATAACAATTATATTTAGCAAATGTTGGGGTTATCTATGTGTCGGAGTTATCTCTCCAACCATGTATGTTTAAACTTTTTTGTTCATATCTTTACCATTTTTTTTTTCAAAAATCTTTCCCAAGTCAGTTGCCTGATGTCAAAACAATTCTAAGTACCTTATTTATGGTAGTTTAGTAAAAGGCAGTTTTATATCTACATCTATCTACATCTGTACATTAAACTGTCAAACTTGATATTTCTTTAATGGTGCTCAAGAAAAAAAAAAAGAGAAATAAAATAGGACAGAAAGAAAAAGGACACGGACACACTTTTGCTAGATAGAAGTTAAAAGAAATGAAGTAGCAGAAAGTAGTTGTACACAGTTAATTTTCAACCATCTGGGCAAGACAAATCAGCTTCCATGGCGGTGCCCAGGTCCAAGACTCTGCTTGCATAGCTCAAGCCCTTCAATTGGCGGAACTTCGTAACCTTGCATGTAAGTCCCCTTTAGAAGGTTAGGTTAGACAGCTCATTCTTAAAGGATGCCAAAGAATGAGCCTCAGCAACAGATGGTGGCAGGTTGTTCCACAGAAGAAGACCCTGGTGTTATAGTTACTGATTACAAAACTGATCCTTACTGTTTTAAGTATAAAAATATAATTCTATATACTGCATCTTTATTTCTTCAGCATGATATAGCTTGATGTAATTTTACAATCCATTACTGAAGTATAGTGTTTATAAATGTACATTTACATACTGTAATTATACCGTGAAGCCATTTTCGTTTATTTACACACACAGATATTTACGTTGATTTGTTGGTTATATATGACATTTCGGACGATGGACATTTCGGACCAGACACTTCGGACCAGATTTTTGGATACTTCGGACCATATTTAGGGACATTTCGGACCAGATTTTTGGACATTTCGGACCATGTGTTGGACATTTCGGATCATGCGTTGGACATTTCGGACCATCATGTGTTGGACATTTGGAATTACGGACATTTCGTTTGTTTTCGTATTTTGCATCGCAACTTTTCGGCTCTTTCCGTCATTCATGTTGTTTTAGTGGCCTTGACCTTTTTGTCAACAATGAACCGTGCAAGAAGTTCTGTGAAGGTTTCGAAGTATTTTCAGCGAGTTTTTGCTCGAAACTTTCATGCATCGGTAGCAAACTGTATGCGGGTATGCTCCTGTTGTCAGCAGCATAAAAGACCCGAACCGGACTTCAAAGTTCACGATTATAACAAGGTCTTTAGACGCTCCATTGACAGTCCAGAAGATTTCTGGGCAGAACAAGCTGACGATTTGATATGGGAGAAAAAATGGGACAAAGTTCTTGACAACTCAAATCCACCATTTACAAAGTGGTACATACAAATGTTCAAACAATTTATACCGAAAATATGATCATAAATTTCTGATTTTTTGTTTTCTGTACAATTTCTTGCTTTGATTTATAGGGGCAGTGTGTACCAAGGCCACCATGCAAGAGCAAGAGACAGGATGGTATCATACCATGTCCAAGGTTGACCGTTGATCGTAATAGCATGGACAATATTAACTATTGACATTTTAATGTCTGAATATTCTGTACAGCTTAAAGGAATATGGCATTAATTTCTTTTACTTTTTGATTACACATTGTAACATACCTAGGATCACGGATTTATATTACAAGGATCGGACACTTTCGTTTAGCTTAAAGTCCCGTCGCGCGCATGCGTGGAATCGGATAAAGGTGGACAGAATGAGATGGCGGAACGTGCGGAGTACGAAATATGACAGATTTTCACCGGAGTATGTGGTGTTATTGCAGCTTTGTGAAAAATTATACACATATGAATGTATTGATACAGTATTATTTTGTGTCGCTAAAGTATTATTATATGAAAATATGCTGATAGAACGCTGCAACGCTTAGTTAAAAAGTACCGCATTTAAAAAATATTCGCCTATTGTTTAGGCATACTCTCTACACTTAGCCGCCCTTTTACTTCAAGCACGAATTATTACCGCGATTCAGAATAAGATAATTATTTTTTACATGGTTTAATGATGGCATTGCAAAAAAACGTTTCTTGATTGCTAAAAAACTTTTAAAGAAATTCATGTTTGAAATGTGTCTTTATTTCTGTGAATTCTTTCCAAATGATTTGTACATTTTTTATTTGATTACCTATATATTAGTATAAATATAGTAAATATTCTACTATTAAGTGTATTAAATATATTTTCAGATCATTCTAGACAAGCATTCCTATATAGATGAATTCATTAGATTGGCAAGGAAGAAACTTTTATTGGCATAGAGAACAGCTGTTTTATAATATTATTTTTTATTTTGAAACATAATTTTTTCATAGATATCATAAACAATTCACGTCAAATGATTTATTTATCACATGTTTATTTTCGTCATTTTTCAGAGAAAGGACTATACAAATTTAGTTGTATATTTTCAATTTCATTTATAAATGTTAATAAAGAAAATAGATTTACATTGTATTTATATATATCCTCTTCAGAATCATTTTCTTACCACATATGCCATGAACTGTAGTTAAAGACCGCGCATATACAAAATATACATTCAAATTATATTTGTTTTTGAAGATTGAGTGTTGCAATTATCACATGTAACCTGGTAATGAAAGTTTGGAAATAAAGTTTTTTAATTATCACTTACCCCCCTTCAAAAGTAATTAAACTTGAAAGAAATTTAAGCGATGTGTAAAAAATAATCAACAGTTACTTTTATTTTGCAAAATACTGACTCAAACTGTAAAGATTTTTATTGTTTTTCTAGCGTTACATTAAAAAGTATAAGAAATATCTTTCTACAGGCATTCAAATAAAAAGAATAATTAAAATATACGGATTAAAATATACGAGTGACATTAAAAAGGCCGGAATCGAGACAGCCACACGAGAGAACTTTACTGTTACGATGATTGTCTACTTCACTGCACCGACATTTGAAAACAGATTTACAAAAAATAATAATGATATAAATGATGAATGAAATTTAAATATTCTATGAATATGGCAATATTGACAATCTCGGCAATATTTTGTACTAAAAAATGAATAAATTTTCTTCACGTGTAAAGGCCGCAATACATTACCCGTAAAACAATTGTGCGTTAATAAATTTGACTACATAACCCAACAAATCTTAAATATTGCATCTTTGATCATCTGTGAATAACTTACATCGGCTTCTTTTTTGTTTTGAAACTGAAAGTATTATGGTACCGTAATAATACATTTCAAATACATATATAAAAAAATGTAAATTTACCGCGGATTTCGTCAAGTTAATTTTTTAACCGTCGTTGCGGACAGATAAACTGTACCTTAAAAAATAAATTAGATATTTGAATTAACCAAGTATTTTTCTTCAAAATAAACATTAAATTTCCAAAATCGGATAATAAATGAAAACGCTATATGGTATTTTGTAAAGTAGGTATCTGTTGCGAACGGGCATTTACGCTTCGCGCCGGTAAATTATCGATCGATGTACCTTTATCGGGTGCACGACAAGATATTTAAGCATTTATATAGGGTTAACTGGGAGTGTCCGATCCCTGTAATATAAATCCGTGCTAGGATTTATGGTCAGAGCTGACTGTAACAAGGTGGACTATGCCAAGGCAGAATATAGATTGGGACAGGGAAGACCTTACTTTTGGACAGGGAAGAGTCTGGCTTTATTGGGCGAACAACGTTTTATAATACAGGATACAAAACATGACATCAATGAATCCAAGAACGTATAATTCATGATGTTGTATATGATTTATAATATACATCCCTCGTGATCAAATAGTCTGTCTGGGACATGTACATACATTTTAACTTCAAACATATTCAACTGGATTTCAAAATTCTTGTTTAGAAATTTGTAAGACTTACATATACTATATATGACGTTTAATTTACGGGAATTTTGATCTTAAGAGATTTAAAGTAAAGATATAAAAGTATTTAATTTGACATTAAAATCATGGTCTTCCTTGTCCCCAGTAGTGGTCCACCCTGTTTCAAAGCACTGTCCTGTGTCAATCTATGGTCCCCCTTGGTATGGTCCGCCCTGTCTCAACCTACTGTCTGCCTCAGTATGGTGTGGCCAGATGCTCTTTTCTACGGAATGCCGTTAGGGCCATCGCCTATGAATGGTTTGATCTGAAACGTGATACTCGACAGTACATTGATGAAAACGCCAAATCAAGAAACTATGATGGTGAAAACGCGACAGTACGATGATGAAAACACAACAGTACGATAACGAAAACGCGATAATACGACAGTACGATGATGATAAAAGGATAAACTATCGTGTTTTCATCATCGTACTTTCGCGTTTTCATCAGCGTACTATCGCATTTTCACCATCGTACTATCGCGTTTTCCTCAACGTACTGGCGTGTTTTCATCATCGTAGTATATCGTTTTCACCTTCGTAGTTTCGTGATGTCTCGTTTTCACCATCGTACTTTCGACTATCACGTTTCAGATCAAACCATTCATAGGCGATGGCCCCAACGGCATTCCAGAATGCCGTTAGGGCCATCACCTATGAATTATTTGGTGAAAACACGATAGTTTATCGCGTTTTCATCATCGTAGTATCGTACTGTCGCGTTTTCATCATCGTACTATCGCATTTTCATCATCCTACTTTCCCCTTTTCACCATCGTAGTTTCATGATTTTGTGTTTTCACCATCGTACTATCGACTATCGCGTTTCAGATCAACACATTCATAGGCGATGGCCTTAACGGCATTCCGTACTTTTCTGAGTCTAACCACTCGGGGAATTAGAATAAAATTTACAAATGTTTTTAAGATTTATTTCAACAACAAATATTTACATTCAATCTTCTTTTATTCCAGATAATGAGTTTAATCTTCATCACCAGTCCACCTTATAAATTTATTATCTATTATCTACCCCAATATCATATTAAATCCTTTCATCAAAACTTCTTCTACTCAATGTATTTATTTATATTATCCCAACCTTCTTGACCTAGACTTAAACCTAAAACTGAACTAACTTTCCCCCCAAATCTGTATGTCCAAAATTCTATCAAAACAAAATATCTGCCCCCTTTTGAATTTATCCAATCAAATAATATATTTCTTATCTTTACTCTGTCAATCATAATTAATATAACATTATCACATGTGCATTTTGACCAGCTTCTGTTTTCCACATCAAAGGATTTCACACCTATGTGATATTACTTTGAGAAGCTGAAGGAAGCAGACCAAAACTAATTTCAAGTCTATCCCCCTCAGCTTTCCAAACAACAAAAATATGTTATTACATCAAAAAATATAGTACAAAATATTGCCTGGCTACAATTGTCTGCCTTGACTCAATCTATAGCCCACTTTGGTATGAATACAGTCTCATGGCCCGCCATGCCCTGTCCCGAAACACGGTCCTGTGTCAATATACAGTCCCCCTTGGTATAGTCCCCCTTGTCTCAATCTACAGTCCGCCTTAGTATGATCCACCCAGTCTTGTGGTCCACCCCCTCCTATATCTAGAACTATAGCATGTAGCGTTTTTCTCTTTCCAGTCCACTATATCAGCCTATTATAACTTTTAATTTTGTGAACAAAGAATTTACATAATAATGGTAAAAATGATGTTAATGCACAGACTGCCTTAAATCATTTGCACATGTTAAATTCGCACATGTTCAACTCCATCTCAATTTTGTTCAGTAATAATAAACTGCTTATGTTTATGATAATATTTATATAAATAAAACAAGATAAAGAAATAAAAATAAAATTGACTAATGCATGCTCCACTTATGTCAAGTAATTGTCTGCCCTATACCAAAATACAGTCTGCCCTGTCACAATAAACAGTCCATCCCATCCTTTGTTAGATCTACATGTATGTGTGTGATAATACATAGCATGTATATCAAATAAATGTGATTAATGACAAACAATATAGTTAGTCAAAATAGTTTGACTTTTTTAGCAGATTCTTGTAAGTATCTGATGTACATGAATGTTATCTGTTATAGACTTTATTGTAATATATTTCAGGTTTGTTGGTGGAGAATTAAACACCTGTTACAATGCTGTAGATAGACATGTTGCCGAGGGCAATGGTGGTCAGGTTGCTATTATATATGATAGTCCAGTCACCAAGCAAATTAAAAAGATCACATATAGAGAATTATGGGAGGAGGTATAAGAAACTAATTAAGTAATATTGATGTGAGCCGCGTCATGACAAAACCAACATAGTGCGTTTGCGACCATGGATCCAGACCAGCCTGGGCATCCACGCAGTCTGATCAGGATCCATGCTGTTCGCTTTCCAACCCTTTTACAAGTAGAGAATATGATAGCGAACAGCATGGATCCTGATCAGACTGCGCGGATGTGCAGGCTGGTCTGGATCCATGCTGGTCGCAAACGCACTATATTGGTTTTGTCGTGACGCGGCTCGTGTATTTTATACCAAGTAACAGCATTGTTATTTTAGAATGATATAAAAATATGTATAAGCTGTAACTGTAAAACTTTGGAAAATACTTCATACCTTGAATAGACCATACATGTAGTTTTAAAGTTCATATCTGGAGGAACTTCAGAAGACAGCAACCTTCATCGATATGGCCGGCCTGAGATTGTAGCGGTGAACAAGAAGAAGAAGATCTGATGATATTTTTTTCTGCATGTACTCGATTTACCAGTACTGCTGTTCATGCCAATATTTAATACATGTATATACAAGTAAGATTTTAGAAGAGAAGACTAGTCTGTTCATTCTACTAGAAACTTATCTTTCAGATATATCTAAAAAAGAAAAAAAATGAACATAAACACTTGATGAAATATCAGAATTTAATTACATTAATAAGTTTTTTATCACAGGTTTCTTTATTTGCGGGGGTTCTTCAGAAGAATGGGGTGAAAAAAGGTGATCGTGTTTTGATATACATGCCCATGATTCCACAGGCCATCGTAGCAATGCTTGCATCAGCTAGACTTGGAGCCATACATTCACTGGTGTTTGGAGGATTTGCCTCTAAAGAACTGTCAACTAGGATAGAACATGCAAAGGTCAGCCTATATCAGCCAATTTTGTATTTGTAAAGCAAATATTTTCCTCCTGAGGTATGGAACTGGTGCATTCAAAGCACAAAAATTTAGGCCTTTTACCAGTAACATGAAAGTTTGAATCCCTCTTTTAACACTGAAATACTTCATGTGATCCCACTTAGAAAGACTTCTAGGTAGCTTGTATTGATTTACTGTTTGATACCTGAAATGATGCACAGGGTGACATTTGAGATCATACTTTCAATACAAGTATTAGTAATCACATCACCTGAACTATGTTGCTATGGTTCTTAACTGAAAATTTTTGTTAATTATTGTCAACAGAATAGTTGATAGGTGCATAATTGAGAATTAAAAATTATATTGTCTTATTTCATAACGAAGTTTGGGGGGGGTATATAGGAGTCACCCGGTATCGGTCGGTCCAGCTGTCCGTTGCATTTTTCTTGTCCGGAGCATAACTTGAAGACTAATGGTTGGAATTCAATATAACTTCATATCATGGTCAAGCACATTGAGAGGGAGTGCAGTGCACAAGAACTATAACTCCATCTTGACTAATTACAGAGTTATTGCCCTTTGTTACTTTTCCTTGTCCGGAGCAAAACTTGAAAACTACTGGTTGGAATTCAAAACAACTTCATACAATTGTCAAGCACAATAAGGGCAAGTGTAGTGCACAAGAATCATAACTCTATCTAAAGTAATTACAGAGTTATTGCCCTTTGTTACTTTTCCATTGCTTTCTTTTGTCCGGACCATAACTTGAAGACTAATAGTTGGAATTCAATATAACTTCATACAATGGTCAAGCACATTGAGAGGAAGTGCAGTGCACAAGAACCATAATTCCATCTTGACTAATTACAGAGTTACTGCCCTTTTTTACTTTTCCTTGCCTGGAGCATAACTTGAAAACTACTGGATGGAATTCAAAACAATTTCATACAATGGTCAAGCATAATAAGGGGAAGTGCAGTGCACAAGAACCATAACTCTATCTTGACTAATTATAGAGTTATTGCCCTTTGTTACTTTTCCATTGCTTTTTTTGTCCGGAGCATTACTTGAAGACTAATGGTTGGAATTCAATATAACTTCATACAATGGTTAAGCACATTGAGAGGAAGTGCAGTGCACACGAACCATAACTCCATCTTGACTAATTACAGAGTGATTGCCCTTTGTTACTTTTCCTTGTCCGGAGCATAACTTGAAAACTACTTGTTGGAATTCAATACAACTTCATACAGTTGTCAAGCACATTAAGAGGAAGTGCAGTGCACAAGAACCATAACTCCATTTTGACAAATTACAGAGTTATTGCCCTTTGATACTTATCCTTGTCCGGAGCATAACTTAAAACATAATGGTTGGAATTCAAAACAACTTCATACAATGTTCCAGCACAATAGGAGAAAGTGCAGTGCATAAGAACAATAACTCTGTCTAGAGTAATTATAGAGTTATTGCCCTTTGTTACTTTTCCATTGCTTTTTTCTTGTCCAGAGCATAACTTGGAAACTGCTAGTTGGAATTCAATACTATTTCATACAATGGTCAAGTGTATTGAAAGGAATTGCAGTGCACAGAAACTATAACTCTTTTGTTGACTTATTTAAAAGTTTTTGCCCTTTGTTACTTTTTATTGTCAGTGCATAACTTGAAAATTAATGGTTGGAATTCAATGAAACTTTATACAATGATCAAGGGCAGTGAGATGAAGTGCAGTGCACAAGAGCCATAACTCTTTTTGGACAAATTACACTTATTGCCCTGTGTTACTTTTTTGTCCAGTGCATAACTTGAAAACTGGTAGTTGGAATTCAATACAACTTCATACAATGGTCAAGAACAATGAAAGGAAGTGCAGTGTACAATAACCATAACTCCATCTTTCAGTATTTATAGAGTTATTTCCATTTGTTCCTTTTCCTTGTCTTTCTGGACTCTGTGACTAGTAACATCCTCTTTTCCGAAGCTGTCTTGCGGGGGTATTAATCACATTCAGTGATAGTTCTTGTTTACTTATACATGTATGTAAAAGTAAAATGTTGTACGTTATAGTAATGTAAAGTTATAGGTATTGCTTTTTTTTCTCTTTATGTTTTTTGTGTGTTTTTTTGTTAAAATCATTGAAGAAAATGCTTTAGACAGCTCCATAATTATTATTTATGCAACTCATAATTTGTGTAAACTTCAGTTGAAAAATAACTTTGAACTTTTAGGTTAGAGGTTAACTTTATTTTTTGATATGCTTTATATGCATTTAATATTTCTTCAGCCAAAGGTGATAGTAAGTGCCAACTATGGTGTGGAACCAGGAAAACTTGTGCCTTATAAACCCCTGCTAGATGGAGCCCTTAAAATGATCAGCTTTCGTCCTCAAAAATGTATCATATATAATAGACCTGGTGTAAGTAAATATAGGATAACTTTTTTCCTGCCAGAACTGTAAAGTTTATAGTGTATAGGTCTGTGAGTGGCATCCATGACTGAGTGGTTAAGGTTGTTTACTTAAAACAACTTTCCCCTCATTGCGGTGGGGTTCGAACCCCACCATGGGCTCTTGATTCTTACCTGTGAGGAAGCTATCTAGCTAGCTTACAGAATGTTATTGTTTATAATCAGGTGCTGGTTTGTGTCTGAAACAATGCATGGAGGAGAACATGAGGTCATCCTCTACTAGTAAAGCTGTAAAGTAGCCATATGACCGTAACAGTGTTGGTACAATGTGAAATTCAGCCAAAAAAGAAAATTTGTGTTGGGAATTTCTTAGAATGGAAAACATTTACTATATAAAGCAGATGATTTGTGTTTCACTTTATCTTTATAGACTCTATATTTATTATATATGGAAAATATTGAATGAAGTTAAGATCTATTTTTCCTAACTTTAACCAAGAAAATGCGATAAAGATACAGAATTTTTTTTAAAACAAATTCCATATAGCAAGCATGTCTTTTCTTGTTGGCAGTTTGACTTCACACCTCTACAGAAAGGTCGTGATCTAGACTATACATTTGAGTTATCTCAGGCATATCACACTGACTGTGTTCCAGTGTCAACTACTGATCCAATATATCTACTGTATACATCAGGCACTACTGGACTTCCTAAAGTAAGTCTTGATTTTGTTTATATGTGATGTAATAAAGTTTGTTTATATGTGATTTGATAAAAAGTACTCAAACAATCGTTTAACTAATTAGATATTAGTCGCACACTATCAAAAACCAATTCCAGTAATGATGAGCTGGTTTAAATAGATAATAATGAGTGCATGTAAATGCTTTTTACCCGTAACCTGCTGAATTTAAGAAACTGACTGGTCCAGTTTCAAGTTTTGGAACTGTCCATTATAAATTTTGGGAATATCAAAATGAAAGTTTGAAGTTGGTCAGTCAAACAGTATAGATCCAGGTCAGACTGCATGGATAAGCAAACTGGCTTGCTCTATACTCATAGCCAAGGTCAATCAACTTTGATTCCAGCAGAGTAAGGGTTAAATCATTAATGGATATTATGTCAGTAATAATGTTCTCTCTAAGGTGATACTCAAGCAGTTGTAACACAGTATAGAATAAAATACCTGACTTAAACATCATAAATATATTTATTATTAATTATCTACGTTTCATTGTAAATGCTATAGTTATCATTTTTGTATTTTTTTCATGTTTATATTCTTATCTTGAAATTTCTTGAAATAAAGGGGTCTTAAAAGTGGTTCCAAAAAAAAAAGAATGAAAAAATTTCAATTTATTTAAGCAAATTTGTCGTCTATCTATTTGTGCAGAAATGATTTCTATCATTTGAGAAAATTTGTTTTTGTATGATTTGATTTATAAATGCTTAATTGTTTTTCTATCTATCTAGGGAAAACAAAGCTTATAATTATATGATTAGGCAAATTATTTTTTTGTCTTTTTATTGAAAATTTGTTTTCTAATGAGGAAAATCATTTATATCTGTTTAGACTGGTAATACCATGTTGAAATCGGAGTGGTGTTGAAATTTTAGTGTAGAATGTTTGTTTTCTATCTTTTAGGCAAAATTGTTATGTATCGGTTTGTATCTGTTTAGGCAACGTATTCTGTATTAGGCAAAACTATTTTATTTATCTAATTAGGCAGTGGTACGACCCAGTGGAGGTCATGCCGTGGTGTTGAAATGGTCAATGTGGAATATATATGGCATACGTCCTGGAGAGGTAAACACTTTATTTCAATAACAGTTTATTACAGTACTGTTGTATTTATATCAGATAATACAAGAATATATAGTGCACTCTGCAGGCAATTTATGTTTTATGAGTTTGTGAGAAACATAGTTTTCTAAGAAAAATAAAAGGAAAAAAAAAAATTTGCTGTCCCAATGACAGGAGTGTTGTAAAGGGATATGTCATGCAGATACTGGTTTTCTTACAGTATTTTTTCAACTTATATAACAGAGGCATATAAAAAGCCTCTTCCCAGTTAAATTTTTTTATTAAAATCATGACGTTTTCCCAAAAATCTGAACCTACACCAGCTTTTTTACTTTCCAAATTAGCAATTTTAGTAACAATTTTCCCCAAAATCAAAAGGCTAATATCATCCCAATTTAGTGAGAGAAACCACTGTCTTAAACTGTGTTAATCAAATAACTGCTCTTTATATAAAAACAATATTTTCATGAAATATTCAAGTTATTGAAAAGTTAAAGAAAAGAATGCCTTTACACTTGATGGCATATTATTTTTAGCCTACAGATTATATCTAGTACAAACATTGAGCTATGATGTCATACACTTAAAATCTGTATCAGGGATGTATTATCTCGCAAGGTCGCATTTTTTTTTAGATTTTCCGAGATCATTTTAGAGGCAAAAAGAATTATTTATATAATTACATGTATACAACGCCATGATATTAAAAACTTATGGTAATAAAAGAAGAAACAAAAAAGAAGTTGTTAAATTGTTTAAAAAAATTCAATAGAGATTAAGAAGATATATGTTATTCTCAGAAATTGGTGAAAATGTAAACAGGTTTGGTGACGTGAAACAAGGTGGCAGAAGTTGATCCAATGAATCTCGCGCAAGTGATTGTGGGTCAGGATTGGAAAATATTCTATTTTTAGAGCTTCTTATTCCTCTGTGACATAAGTTTGGTTCAAGTATTATATGTATCTTTGAAGTGTTCATGCTATAATGGTTTATTATTCAGGTATGGTGGTCAGCATCGGATCTTGGCTGGGTGGTTGGTCATTCTTATATTTGTTATGCCCCTTTGCTAAATGGTAACACAACTGTGCTGTTTGAGGTAAGAATAAAAAAAATCTGTTGTAAGATACAAGTAACAAATGTTTGATGTTGGATAGAATATTGTTTAAATTAATTTTCAAACTAATATGAAATATCCATAATTTTTATATGATTGCATAATTATTTCAACTTATTTCAATTATTGCAACTTATTTCTGATCTTACTGAAGGAAATCAATTAAAATTCACTATTTCAATGCCTTTCAATTTAACATGGTCATTGAACTGTTACATTAAATTTTCACAGAATGTCCCATTGCTTCTTCAAATCATTTGCTTCTCACTTTTGTGGGTTCAAATCCATAGAAAGACTGTAGATTCTTTTATGTGAGGAAACCACCTAGCTAGCTTAACAGGTCAAGTGCCACCTTATGTTGCACAGAGAGTCTTCCTGCATTAAAACTGGAATGCCACCATCTGACCTTTACAGTCTCACCTAACCAGCTGCTGAATTTTCCTTACTGTTCTTACTTTTAATCAATATTCAACAAGTTATTTGCTCTAAAATAATGCTTGAATAATTCATATTTTTACAATTTCAGGGAAAGCCTGTGGGTACCCCAGATCCTGGTGTATATTTTCGTATCATAAAGGAACACAATGTTGTCGGTTTGTTTGTGGCTCCCACTGCACTCAGGGCTATTAGAAGAGATGTAAGTATTATAAATTTATAAATTAAATCTTTCATTTTCTATATTTTCACTGTAAAAATTAATCTTTCACTGAAGTGAAAAATATTTTCCATATTTTTGCAGGTGTCTTGCTGGACTTCTTCCTTTGAAATTCAGCCAATATACACACATTTTAAGGGAAAGTAAAAAAAAAAAGAGAGAAAAATAAAATATTTATTTTCATCTTGTGGTATAAAAATTATCTTATTTCACTTGTGGCTTCTGTCACTCATGAAATATGTATTTTCTTACTAATAAATGAAAATAAATCCTGTATTTATAGAAAAAACTAAAATATCCTCTACATATCAGTTATCTTAACACTTTTAAGTTCATATTGTTTTTGTTTTGTTTTTTTGAATAAAAATGTATCATTTTAACGGCTTTTTAGCTCACCTGTCACAAAGTGACAGGGTGAGCTTTTGTGATCGCTTTTCGTCCGGCGTCCGTCCGTCCGTCCGTCGTCCGTCCATCGTCCGTCCGTCGTCCGTCCGTCCGTAAACTTTTACTTTAAATGACATCTCCTCATAAACCACTAAGCCAATTTCATCCAAACTTCACAGGAATGTTCCTTTGGTGGTCACCTTTAAAAATTGTTCAAAGAATTTAATTCCATGCAGAACTCGGGTTGCCATGGCAACCAAAAGAAAAAACTTAAAATATCTTCTTTTAAAGAACCATAAGAGCTAGAGCTTAGATATTTGGCATGAAACATCTTCTAGTGAGTGTCTACCAAGTTTGTTCAAATAAAAGCCCTGGGGTCAAAATTGGCCCCGCCCCGGGGGGTCATTGATTTTCCCTATATGCATATAGTAAAAACTTAAAAATCTTCTTTTAAAGAACCCAAAGAGCTAGAGCTAAGATATTTAGCATGAAACATGTTCTAATGGGTGTCTACCAAGTTTGTTCAAATAAAAGCCCTGGGGTCAAAATTGGCCCCGCCCCAGGGGGTCATTGATTTTCCCTATATGCATATAGTAAAAACTTAAAAAATTCTCTTTTAAAGAACTCAAAGAGCTATGGCTAAGATATTGAGCATTAAACATGTTCTAATAGGTGTCTACCAAGTTTGTTCAAATAAAAGCCCTGGGGTCAAAATTGGCCCCGCCCCAGGGGGTCATTGATTTTCCCTATATGCATATAGTAAAAACTTAAAAAATCTTCTTTTAAAGAACCAAAAGAGTTAGAGCTAAGATATTTAGCATGAAACATGTTCTAATAAGTGTCTACCAAGTTTGTTCAAATAAAAGCCCTGGGTCAAAATTGGCCCCGCCCCGGGGGTTCATTGATTTTCCCTATATGCATATAGTAAAAACTTAAAAAATCTTCTTTAAAAGAACTCAAAGAGCTATGGCTAAGATATTTAGCATCAAACATGTTCTAATAGGTGTCTACCAAGTTTGTTCAAATAAAAGCCCTGGGGTCAAAAAATTGGCACCGCCCCGGGGGGTCATTGATTTTTCCTTATATGTGTATAGCAAAAACTTAAAATCTTCTTTGAAAAAACCCAAATAGCTAGAGTTTAGATATTAAGCATGAAAACATCTTCTAGTAAGTGTCTACAAAGTTTTGTTTAAATAAAAGCCCTGGGTCAAAACTGGCCCGGCCCCAGGGGTGTCATTGTTTTTAACTATATGTGTATAGTAAAAACTTAAAAAAATCTTGTTTTAAAAATCCCAATGAGCTAGAGCTTAGATGTTTAGCATGAAACATCTTCTTATGGGTGTCTACCAAGTTTGTGCAAATAAAAGCCCTTAGGTTAAATTGGCCCTGCAACGTTGGGGGGGGGGGGGGGTTGGGGGCAAATATACAGGTGAGCGACCTCAGGGCCATCATGGCCCTCTTGTTTTTACTTTTTAAAGTTTTTAGAGAAAAGAACTCTCCAACATTGTTTGATATTTGATATCAATTTAAATATGTTTTATGTTGATGATGATTAATTGTCAATTGTAGATTTCATAACCATTTAAATGCTGTATGTATCTGGGATAATATAAGATACATGCTGTAATTGCATATAGCCCCTAAAATGATAATGGGCAGTTCAAATCCAAAACATATACAGTCCATTAAGCAAATTGAAGGGTATAAAAATTAAAACTATCAGTTTTCATGTATTTTTCAAGGATCCAGAAGGTGCCTTTGGAAAGAAGTTTATGCCATTAAACAGGTACATTTATTAATTCTTGTACTTAATGTTATATAGAATCTATATTTCTGATATTTTATATACAACTAAGAGAGGATATTGTATGAGTGTAAGTTTAATACTGAATTTATTGAACAAGTTGGGTAAAATTATATTATTTTATTTCATGCTTTCCAGTGTTTTACTGTAATATAACAGATGATTATATTCTGATAAACCACTAGTGAAATTTATAAAATATAATTTTCACTGTAGCCGGACTATATCTGAATGCGGATGAAAAGAATATCATAACTAAATGGAATAACAGACAAAAATAAATGCCGTCATACGTAAATGTTGCTTCTTTAGGAAAAAGAAAGTCGGTGTCATCATACATCATGTTAAAAATGTACACAAAATAAAGAAATTTAACAGAACTATATTTCAAAAACTGATGATGTGACGTCATGATTGATGACGTCATAAAGGAGAATGCGCGACGTTACGCGGCAAAATCAGTAAAAAATTACTTAAAATCCCTTAAAAAAGCATGAAATAAAAAGAAAATTTATTTGTTTAACATATAAGATTGAAAATATTATTTCATTCGTGAACACAAGCTATTATATTTTCACTCGTGGCTACGCCACTCGTGAAAATATTGCATCTGGTGTTCACTCAGTGATATTATATTTCAATCTTACATGCAAAACAAACAAATATCCTCTATTTATTCAACGAGTTCAATAAATTTAGTAAATTAACTTTCATGAATCTAGTATTCTGTTTGTCACAAAAATAAAGACTGTTTGAAGTGAAAAAGAAACGTCTTTCATTGACGTGCTATAGTATAACACTAAATTTCATGCATCTTAATTCTAAAGCGGCACAGGTATGCGATAATAGATTTTAACTTGATTTAATATTTTGAACTATTGATTTAATATTAAATTGTTATAATTTCAGTTTTCGAAACATGTTTGTAGCCGGGGAACATTGTGATAGAGAGACAATGGAATGGACAAAGAAAGTGTTTAATTGTCCAGTTTTAGACAATTGGTGGCAGACTGGTAACCAAATATTTGTTTTAATAACCTACAGCACGATACATCCAGTTTCTGCTTATATTTATATTTGACAAGAATGAAGATGTAAATCAAACCTTTCACTTTCAACATTTAAAGTAATGGCAGAATCACACATGCCCTAATTAGTCCCCTACCGGTTTACCGGAGGGGACTTTAGGTTTACCCTCCGTCCGTCTGTCCGTCCGTCCGTCTGTCCGTCCGTCCACAAAACTGGATCCCGCGATAACGCAATAAGTACTGAAAATATTTTAATGAAACTTGATTATATGGATAGATGGCAGTATGGAGATTATGCACGTCTTTTTCTTTTCTTCCTATGTTAAAAATTCTGGTTGCTATGGCAACAAAATAGACTGAAAATATGGCAAATTTTACACATAACCTGGATCCCGCGATAACGCAAAAAGTACTGAAAATATTTTTATGAAACTTGATATATGGATAGATGGCAGTATGGAGATTATGCACGTCTTTTTTTCCTTCCTATGTTGAAAATTCTGGTTGCTATGGCAACAAATAGACTGAAAATATGGCAAATTTTACACATAACCTGGATCCAGTGATAACACAAAAGTACTGAAAATATGTTTATGAAACTTGACATATGGGTAGATGGCGGTAAAGAAATTATGCACATTCTTTTCTTATCTTCCTATGTTGAAAATTCTTGTTGCTATGGCAACAAATAGACTGAATTTCAAGATTTCTGATTCTAGTTTTTTAAGTTTTTTCACTATAAGTTCTTTATTTCTTAAGGTATTTTCTTCAAACTTTAAATATAAATTGCTTGTCATCAACCACATCATATGTGACAAGGTTTACAACTCTAGCACAAAATTATTCAGAATTACCTCCCTTGAACTTAAAATTTTCATGAAAAAAAACATTGTTTTTTAGCTCGACTATTCGATAAGAATAAGTAGAGCTATTGCAGTCACCCGGGCGTCGGCGTAACCACTTATGTTAAAGTTTTTGTAATAGTTCAAATATTTTCAAAGTCCATAGACATATGGCTTTGAAACTTTGCACACTTGTTCACCATCATGACCCCAACCTGTAGACAGGAGGAGGTAACTCTATCAAGCATTTTGACAGAATTATGCCCCTTTTTCGACTTAGAATTTACGTTAAAGTTTTTGTAATAGTTCAAATATTTTCAAAGTCCATTGACATATGGCTTTGAAACTTTGCACACTTGTTCAACATCATGACCCCAACCTTTAAACAGGAGGAGGTAACTCTATCAAGCATTTTGACAGAATTAAGCCCCTTTTTTGACTGAGAATTTACGTTAAAGTTTTTGTAATAGTTCAAATATTTTCAAAGTCCATTGACATATGGCTTTGAAACTTTACACACTTGTTCACCATCATGACCCCAAACTGGAAACAGGAGGAAGTAACTCTATCAAGTATTTTGACAGAATTATGCCCCTTTTTCGACTTAGAATTTACGTTAAAGTTTTTGTAATAGTTCAAATATTTTCAAAGTCCATTGACATATGGCTTTGAAACTTTGCACACTTGTTCACCATCATGACCCCAACCTGTAAACAGGAGGAGGTAACTCTATCAGAGCATTTTGACAGAATTATGCCCCTTTTTCGACTTAGAATTTACGTTAAAGTTTTTGTAATAGTTCAAATATTTTCAAAGTCCATTGACATATGGCTTTGAAACTTTGCACACTTGTTCACCATCATGACCCCAACCTGTAAACAGGAGGAGGTAACTCTATCAAGCATTTTTTTTACTATCAAGCACTAAGAATAGTCGAGCGTTGCTGTCCTACCGACAGCTCTTGTTTAATAACTTCTTTTTCTGAATGTATCTACTTCAAACTTCATATAAATGTTTCTTATTATCACTCAACATTTGTGAGTGTTCAATACTCTAGCAAGACTATTTCCAGAATTATGCCCCTTTTGAACTTAGACTTTTTTTAGAGAAATTGGTAATTTTTACTCCAACTTCTTCAATCATGATAGGATTTTAAAAATGTTATATTTTGATAACAGGGATGTTTAAAAAATAACTTTAGAGTGTCCTTCAGTCTGTCTGTCTGTACATAAAAACTGTTTCCTGTGATCACTTTTAAAGAACTTTTTCGACAAATTTACTTAAAATAGGAACCTAAGTGAATGGCCAATGGCCCTTCAGAATGTTGCTTGGGCTCTTACCGGTAGGGGACTTATGGATTGCTTGCAATACTATGATAATTGCTTGTTCTGTATTGTTTCAGTCACAAATCAGATGTTGGTTTTACCTTTCCCTGCTGGATCCAAAGGCGATTAGCCTTAGCTGCCAGTATAGAGCCAGGCCATTCTGCACTTTTTTGCTGTCTGACTAGGCTCTACACTGTTGGCATCTCATTTTTTGTACTTTTATATTGAAATTCCTTAAACTTTGAATGGACTGTACCAAATTCAAATCTTGCAAATGCAGTGTAAGAATAACCACCAATGATGTTGGAACTTACATTAAATTTTTCTGTCTCTATGTTTGACCTTTTATATAAATTTTAACCATTTTACCTGCTTGATTTCTTAAATGGACTTATCGGCTGCATTTTTATGCTCCCTGAAAAATTTCGGGGGAGCATATAGTCGCCGGGTTGTCCGTCCGTCCATCCATCAGTCAGTCCATACGAACCCAGAGGTACTTGTGTGACTAGGAGAACAATGGGCAACAGTAAATTCTCTTTGATCCTATTCATTCCGTTTTTACTTGTGTGTCTTTTTAAGCCTAGTGTGACTAAAAATGGCCAAAAAGATCAAAGGAAAAGTTACACAAGTACCATTTTGTGAGTACGTCCGTCAGTCCGTCCCGAAATTCGTGTCCGGCCCATAACTTCTATATTTGAAGTCGGATTTTTAAACTATTTCACAGAAATAATCACCATATTGAGACGACAAGAGGCGCACATCATTTGAGTCGATACCTTAAAAGTCAAGGTCACAGCATGACCTTTAAGCAAAACCGTGTCCGGCCCATAACTTGTAATTTGAAGTCAGATTTTTAAACTATGTCACAGAAATGATCACCATATTGAGATGATGTGTCTCACGCAAAATTTGGTTCACTTCCTTGAAGGTCAAGGTCACAGCATGACCTTGCAGCAAAATCGTGTCCGGCCCATAACTTTGTTATTTGAAGTCTGATTTTAAAACTATTTCACAGAAATGATCACGATATTGAGACAATGTGTTGGGCGCAACTTTTGGGTCGCTACCTTTAAGGTCAAGGTCACAGGATGACCTTGCAGCAAAATTGTGTCCGGACCATAACTTTGTTATTTGCAGTTGGATTATTCAACTATTTTACAGAAATGATCACCATATTGAGACGAAGTGTAGCGAGCAACATTTTGGTCGCTACCTTGAAGGTCAAGGTCACAGCATGACCTTGCAGCAAAATCGTGTCCGGCCCACAACTTTGTTATTTGAAGTCGGATTTACAACTATTTAACAGAAATGATCACCATATTGAGACGACGTGTTGGGCGCAAGTCGGTAGATAGATTTCATTGGGTAGAAGTGCAGTGCAAAGAACAGTAACTCTGCCTTGCCTAAGTTGTTGTTTTTTTTGAGGCCCCATCTGGGTAACCCCGTTTATTTACCCCGTAATAGGTATGAGGGGGTCGGGGTCATCCTCCATCATACCTTACATTGTTAATATACAATATACATGTTGCAAAATAATTATATTCATGTAAATATTGTCAAATACATCTACAGTATATTGTAACTTTGCATATAAATATAAACAACATACATACAATAAACCCATCTATTTTCCAAAAATATTTTACCAATAAAGAATACTACTTATTATTAAACAATTAAACAATCTGTTGCGAGGTAAAGTTTTGTTTCACATATTAAGTGTAGTTTAAGCAATTAAGGATCTTATAATTGACCATCTATTATTTTCATCATCTGTCAAATGTGTATTTCTATAGATATTCCATGCTAATTTCAAACTATTTTTAAAACCAATACATGTAGGTAAAAAGTTTTTTTCTCTTAGACAAATAAATATATCTTTTCAATTCTAGAAACAATATGTCATATTTAAAATCTTTAGTTTCTGTACCTAATATGAATGATTTACAACAAAGAACATCATCAAAATTATGTAAGTTTTCTCTAAGGTATTGAAATAGGCTTTGAATTTTCTGACATTCCCAAAATAAATGTAAAAGTGTTTCTTCACAGCATTTACAAAAAGTACACATTTTATTGCCTAAGTTTGGAATTATCACACTTTGAACTTTATCTGGGACATAACCCTGAAACAACAAAAGATATACTTTTCTGTGTCCAAAACCTAGTCGGGGAGCATCACCCGGTTCAACTGGCTCTTGTTTAACTGTCTATCATCAAATTTAGAGATATCACGGTGAAAATTTAAAGTTGGTCAATATTGAGCCTGGTCAGACTGCATGGATGTGCAGGCTGGCCTACCTATTTACTGGTGGCAAAGACTTACCAGGGTAAGGGTTCAAGACAATTTAGTGTACCATTTTCCAGGCAATGTCAAGGTTACAAATGAAGGTCATTTCCCTTGACACTTAACATAACTTTAACTTAACTGTACTGCTAACAACAAAATCTTTATATCAGATATCAAAGTCATAAAAGAATAAGGAAAAAAGAAAGATTTTCCTTTTAAAATGGATACTACTTTGCATGCTGTATATTTCAGGTGAAACCATGTTATGATGATAGTTTGTCCATATAAAAATATTACGTAGAAATTATTCCGCATAATAATGTAATGTTGAAATTATATAGAAAAATACCTTGTATATTTCAGAGACTGGCTGGGCTATAACATCTACATGTGTAGGTCTTGGGATGCCATTAAATCCCACACCAGGTGTTACTGGTAAACCAGTACCTGGATGGAATGGTAGGGATAATTTCAAGTATTTTATTTATTACTTTTTAGTAGAGTAGAAGAAAAGGCAATGAGTTGATACTTCATATAGGTTTTCACTGATGACATAAGTTATATATGATTAAATTTTTTACAATCAAGTATTTAGAATAGTCAAAAATACTTTTGTTAACATTTAGCAATATACATGTATAAAGATTTGTTTATAGTGATGGAAAAGCTAGTGCAAAAATATGGAAAACATGTACCTATTATTTAGTTTACATTTGTTCTTATTTGTTTCAGTTAAGGTTTTGAAAGATGACTTTAGTAAAGAAACAAAGGACTTGGAACTTGGCCAGATAATAGTGAAGTATGTTTTTACCTGTAGCCTGCTGATGGCATACGATTCTACCAATGTGAACAGTGCAAATCAAGATTAGATCTCGACAGTACATCTGTGCTGTCTTGATAAAATCTGCACTGTTCCCTATTCAATCAGTAAATATTTAGAAACTTTCCCTAAAAAAGATGAATGGTTTTGTACAGATTGAAAATGTATACAAATCTTTGTAAGATGTTTAGCATGGTAAGAGTTAATCTTCACTCTACCATAAAGAACTTGTAATTCAAGTACATGTATAAAATAAGTCATTGTTTAGGACACTGTCCGGTGCTCATACAAGACCCTGCATTATTCTTTTGTTTAATGGACTTCCTTTGATTTGAATTTTGAACTGTCTTTGTTAATTTAGGATATTTCAATTCCAAAATTTGACACCTTTCAGTATACACAGTTTGGTGAGACTGAACAGATGTACATGCTGACCTGAAGTAATATTGATGATATTTGCCTGTTGATGACTTTTACTTTCATTCAAAGAGTTTACACATTTGTCGAACGATCTTGATCGATGAATAATCTCTCATGATCCTTTGTTTTAGGTTACCCCTACCCCCAGGCTCATGCAGCACCCTCTGGGAGAATGACTATAGATTTCAGAATACATACTTTGATCTCAAAAAGGTATGGCATTATACATGTACTGTCATGTAATTTGTGATTACATTGTATTTTTAACAAATATTTGACACAATAGTTTGACTTTTTTAGCCCACTTTTTGTATTAAAATTAAAAACTTTATTTTGAATTTTTGATAAAAAGAAAAAAAAAACCTTAGCCTAGAAACAAGAATAATTTTACCAATTTTTAGCTCACCTGTCACAAAGTGACAGGGTGAGCTTTTGTGATCGCTTTTCGTCCGGCGTCCGTCCGTCCGTCCGTCCGTCGTCCGTCCGTCGTCCGTCCGTAAACTTTTGCTTTAAATGACATCTCCTCATAAACCACTGAGCCAATTTCATCCAAACTTCACAGGAATGTTCCTTTGGTGGTCACCTTTAAAAATTGTTCAAAGAATTTAATTCCATGTAGAACTCTGGTTGCCATGGCAACCGAAAGAAAAATCTTTAAATATCTTCTTTTAAACAACCCTAAGAGCTAGAGCTTAGATATTTGGCATGAAATATCTTCTAGTGAGTGTCTACCAAGTTTGTTCAAATAAAAGCCCTGGGGTCAAAATTGGCCCCGCCCCAGGGGGTCATTGATTTTCCCTATATGCATATAGTAAAAACTTAAAAAAATCTTCTTTTAAAGAACCGTAAAAGCTAGAGCTAAGATATTTTGGCATGAAACATCTTCTAGTGAGTGTCTACCAAGTTTGTTCAAATAAAAGCCCTGGGGTGAAAATTGGCCCCGCCCCGGGGGGTCATTGATTTTCCCTATATGCATATAGTAAAAACTTAAAAATCTTTCTTTTAAAGAACCGTAAGAGCTAGAGCTTAGATATTAAGCATGAAACATCTTGTAGTGAATGTCTACCAAGTTTGTTCAAATAAAAGCCCTGGGGTCAAAATTGGCCCTGCCCCAGGGGGTCATTGATTTTCCCTATATGCATATAGTAAAAACTTAAAAAAATCTTCTTTTAAAGAACCCAAAGAGCTAGAGGTAAGATATTAAGCATGAAACATCTTCTAGTGAGTGTCTACCAAGTTTGTTCAAATTAAAACCCTGGGGTCAAAATTGGCCCGCCCCAGGGGGTCATTGATTTTCCCTATATGCATATAGTAAAAACTTAAAAAATCTTCTTTTAAAGAACCCAAAGAGCTAGAGCTAAGATATTTAGCATGAAACATCTTCTAGTGAGTGTCTACCAAGTTTGTTCAAATAAAAGCCCTGGGGTCAAAATTGGCCCAGCCCCAGGGGGTCAATGATTATCCCTATATGCATGTAGTAAAAACTTAAAAAATCTTCTTTTAAAGAACTCAATAAGCTAGAGCTAAGATATTTAGCATGAAAGATGTTCTAATGGGTGTCTACCAAGTATGTTCAAATAAAAGCCCTGGGGTCAAAACTGGCCCCGCCCGGGGGGGGGGGTCATTGATTTTCCTTATCTGTGTATAGCAAAAAACTTAAAAAATCTTCTTTGAAAAAACCCAAATAGCTAGAGTTTAGATAATAAAGCATGAAACATCTTTAAGTAAATATCTACAAAGTTTGTTCAAATAAAGGCCCGGGGGTCAAAACTGGCCCTGCCCCAGGGGTGTCATTGTTTTTAACTATATGTGTATAGTAAAAACTTTAAAAATCTTCTTTTAAAAACCCAATGAGCAAGAACTTAGATGTTTAGCATGAAACATTTTCTTATGGGTGTCTACTAAGTCTGTTTAAATAAACAAATAAAGCCCTTGGGTAAAAATTGGCCCGGGTGGGGGGGGGGCCATATACAGGTGAGCGACCTCAGGGCCATCATGGCCCTCTTGTTTTCATTTTTTGATATTTCATTAGAATTCACACTCATTTTCTATGTATTGCATGATACTATATATATTTAATAAATGATGCAGTTTCATAAGCTTTAAGTTATGGAGATTTCTTGTCATTTTATGCTGTACGTAAGGTTAGAAAACATGACCAGAGCTTTAAATGAAGAAATAATTAATTTTCAGGGTTTTTATAATACAATGGATTCTGGATACAGAGATAAGGAAGGTTATGTTGCTGTCATGTCGAGATCTGATGATGTGATCAATGTAGCCGGGCACCGTCTTTCTGCTGGTGCCCTGGAAGAGGTAAGAAATTTTTTATTTTTAGTGACCAAGATTTTTCGATAAAAACCTTAGACTAGAGACTTTGAAAGATTTATTCCAATGCTTCCCAACACTTGAAGTCAAAAATTTATAAAGAAACACTTAAAAGATGAGAAATTTCAGTTTTGCTTGTCATTATTTCTTAGGTGAAGATTTGGAAGTGGTAAGAGATTTCACTGTAAATACATACCAGTGGAAATAATTTCACTGTGAATGTGTACCTTTGGTAGGGGATTTCAATATGAATGCATACCAATGGAAATTTCAATGTGAATGCATACCAGTGGTAGGAGATTTCAATATAAAAGCATACCAATGGCAAATAAAATCATTGTGGTGAAAGATTCAATATGAATGCATACCAGTGGCAAATAAGTTCATTGCGAATGCATACCAGTGTCAAATAAGTTCATTGTGAATGCATACCAGTGTCAAATAATTTCAATGTGAATGCATACCAGTGTCAAATAATTTCACTGTAAATGCATGCCAGTTGTAAGAAATTTCAAGGTAGAAAGGTTCCATCTTTAAAGAGGTCATTCTGTTGCTTACTCAAGTAGTTTTTATAAAGAGGAAAAAACATTTAAATTACATGGCTTTGATGCATTAATATAAAAATCAGTTACCCATGCAATGTGAACTTATGCAGCTGTTTTAAGAAATTATGTTAGATAACAGTCAGTAAACAGTTGATTACAATTTTGTAATTGTACATGTGTTTTATGCAGGCAATTATAGACAGCCCATATATAGCAGAGGCAGCTGTTATAGGTGTACCAGATGAACTGAAGGGAGAGGTACCACTAGGACTGTGCGTTCCAAAACATGGTAAACTATTATCTTCCTTTTTTGTTTTGCCCTAAATCTAAAACTCGTTGAATTTTTCGTGAAATGGATTTGCACTAGTTGAATTTGGAACAGTCCATTCAAAGTTTCAGGTTTTTTGATATATCAAAATACAAAATTTGAGTTATTAACAGTAAAGAGACTGGTCAGAATCTTGCTGCCCAGGTTGACTGACTCTATACTGGTGTTAATGGCTAGTCATAGGTTAAAGGTTAATAATGATTATGTGTAGTTAGGTTATCATATCTTTAAAAATATTATCTCTAGATGATTAACTTAAAGTTAACAAAAAACTACTGTATATAATTAAATATAAGACAGGTTTAGTTTTATACAAGAGGTTGAGAGATTGATCATCTGACAATCCAGTTACTTTGTTTCAAGAAATTTTTATATCATTTTAATGAGTTTATCATAGCTACTGTTATAATAACATGTAATCTTAATTATTTTACAAAATATTTATGTGACCAGAGGGTAAGGTAGAGCATGTTTTTGATTGAAAGTTGAATAGTTTGTGCTATTTTACTGCCTGTTTTAGTAAATCTTTGTGTCCGGTGCCATGTGATTTTGCTGTCTAATTTTGCTATTATACAAAGTAAATTTATAACTAAAGTAATTTGAAAGATTGAAATCTTAAGATCCCTATAAGTAAGTGCTTTATTTCTTGAATATAATCAAAAACATTTTGTTGTTGTTGATGGATTTGTTCAGAAAACTTAAAAATTATTGAAACATTTGTGAAAACATAAAAATGTGCTTTCTTGTTTTCATAAAGAAAGTTGATAATCTAGTGCTTAATATAGGTCCATGTCTTGATTATAGCTTCTTCTTTGTCTGGCCGTTTTGTTCATGTCAAGGATGTATGTACATTTTCATAAAGTAAATTACTCTGTAATTTTGCTTGCCACTTAATCCAAAATAAGACATGAAAATCACGTGGTGTAGGCACATGGTTAGTTCAGTTTCTATGCCCCTGTTGCAGTTGATGTAGAAAACATTGTTTTCAGCCTTAAGTACATTACTACAGTCATATCCAAGTTTGAACCTTGTCTGTTGGACACAATAAGTATATTCCTAATAGAGAGTTTTATTATTGCTTACTGAAACACAATGTATGACCTTGACCTCCAAAAGAACCTTCACCTTCAAAGTCATATTTCCAAAAAATCATGAAATTTTGAGATAAAAATTGTGCACCAATAGTGTTGAAAATCAATACTATCAATAAATAAGCAATTGAGAGTTGTAGAATAAGTGAAAGCTTCAAAAAGCAAGTCATGAGTAAGTAGCCTTATAAATCTGAGGGCAGCTTGAAAATCTGAGTCGACTTTGCTAGATTTGTGGGAATGCTTTTGATGATTTCAGTGCAATTTCTCCTTCCTTTACTATATACATATGAAGCTTTTGCACTTTTATTTTGTTCATGATTTTAAATAGCTTTGCATGAAACATGGCTGAAAAGCTCTGTTAAAAGTTAATTTTAGTTATTTACTGTCAATATTTTTAAAGTTCAGAAAGAAAGTTGTGATTGATTTTAAAATTGATAACTGGTTATCAAGGTGAACATGGGAAAAAAACATTTTATTTATTAATGTCCTTATATCTACTTTTAATTTTTTACCTTCCTTTTTTGTGTTTCTTTCTAAATGACTCTTTAAGTTGTAAAACATTTTTGAGTACTGGAGAAGTATATATTCTTAGATCTTTAAATTACCTCTTGTTTGCATTTCAGGTCTTGATAAATCTGACGAGCAGATAAAACAAGATGTAATTAGACATGTTCGTGACAGTATAGGGCCAGTTGCCAGCTTTAAGCTTGCCATTTTAGTTCCAAAACTGCCAAAAACCAGGTCTGGTAAAATTGCACGAAACACCATAGCTGCCATGGCTGCTGGCAAACCTTTCAAGGTAAGTCACTGAATTTTTTATTTTTATTGATTAATTATTTTGGTGTGTATTAATGTACCCAAAACCTTGAGCCTGTTAGCTGCAACATATTTTACCAATGTGACCAGTGCAGACCAAGATCAGCCTGCACATTCCTGCCACCTGATCATGGTCTGCACTGTTAGTTATTCAGTCTGTACATTTTTTGTAATTTTCCCCATAAAATTGATAAATAGTTTTGCCAAGATTGAAAGATGGGCAAGTCCGTCACACTTTTGTGTCATTTTGTGCCATAACTTTGTCATTTATCAAAGGAATCTGAAATAACTTGGCACAAATGTTTGTTATAATAAGACAATGTGTCATGCGCAACAACCAGACCCCTACCTCCAAGGTCAAGGTCGCACTTGCTCATTCAAGGTCAACATTGTCTATTTGAGGGTATATGTCGTGTCCGGTCCATAACTTTCTTATCTTTGAAGGGATTTTGTAAATACTTGCCACAATTGTTCACAATAATGAGACGATGTGTCATGCGCAACAACCGGTCACCTACCTCCAAGGTCAAGGTCACACTTGGAGGTCAAAGATTAACATAGTCTGTTATAGGGTATATTTTGTGTCCGGTCCATAACTTTTTCATAGATCGAAAGATTTTGTAAATACTTGCCACAAATAGTCACTATAATAAGACAATGTGTCATGCACAACACCTGCATCCCTACCTCCAAGTTCAAGGTCACACTTAGAGGTCAAAAATTAACATAGTCTGTTTTAGGGTATATTGTGTCCGATCAAGAACTTCTTCGGGATTTTAAAATAACTAGGCACAAATAGTCACAATAAGAAGACGATATGTCAAGTACAACACCTGCACCCCTACCTCCAAGGTCAAGGTCACACTTAGAGGTCAAAGGTTAACAGTCTGTTATATGGTATATTTTGTGTCCTGTCCATAACTTCTTCATAGATCAAGGGATTTTGAAAATACTTGGCACAAATAGTCACAATGATAAGATGATATGTCATGCGTAACAACTGTGTCGCTACCTCCAAGGTCAAGATAACACTTAGAGATCAAAGATTTACATAGTCTGTTATAGGGTATATTTTGTGTCCGATCTATATAACTTCTTCATAGTTCAAGGGATTTTGAAAATACTTGGCACAAATAGTAAGAATAATAAGACGACATGTCAAGCATAACACCTGCACCCCAACCTCCAAGGTCAAGGTCACACTTAGAGGTCAAAGCTTAACATGATAAATTTTTAAATGCCGTGTTTCATTTTATTTCTTTAATAAATTTATTGTTGCATTTGCAGATCTAGCATTGATCATAAGTTTGGACTGAAAGTCCTGAGATCCATACCTCAATCTTTTGAAATAGCACAATTTTATGCTTCGTATAAAAATTTCCCAAGACGGGGGACGTTGGTAACTCTGTTACAAATTCTTGTTAACATGGCAAGGGTTAAGTAAGTTGTCTGTTGTATAAATCCCCTACCACAGGGGATTCTCGCGATGCCCTTTGTCTGTCAGTCTGTGACATTTTCGTGTTTCTCCATGTCTCCCACAGTGTAAGAAGGGCTTTCACGAAACTTGGCTCAAATGTTTTGCTCACTGAGATGATTTGCAGAAAGCATGAGTCAGCCATTTTGGCTCAAAGTCAAGGTCACACTTGAAGGTCAAATGTTTAAGCCCGGTGTTTGTAGTCTGCTACGTATCTGCCAAATTCTTTGAATGATTTTCTTGAAACTTGGCTCAAATGTTTAGCTAATTGAGACGATGTGCAGAAGGCACGAGACAACCATTTTGGCTCAAGGTCATGGTCTTATTTGAAGGTCAAATGTTTGAGCGTGCGTTTTGTGTCTGCTCCATATCTCCCGCATTCTGTTAGTTTGAAGGTTCACATTCTCACAATTAGAGTTAATAGGCACACACATTTTAGTGTCCGGACTGTAACTTATTGCCCCTGAAATGATAGAAAATGGAAACAAATGTCCATCTCCAGGAGCTTGCATCTAAGTTGGAATATAATAATAAAAAAAATTCACTCTCAAAGGGCATATATAGCTTTTTATCTTTTTCTTCAGGTCTCTTTAGTATTTCAGGCATTATTGTCCGTGAAGTGATTAAACATGCTGGAAAATATTTGTCAGCATTTATCTTCAGGATAAAATAAATAAATTTGAATAAAATCTAAAATAAATAAATATGTGGTTGTATACGTGAATTTTTTCTAGGTGTGTCTAGTATTTTATTTGGCTGGAGATATCAGTGCAATGAAAGTTGCTTCATCATTATATTTTTTTGCATTGTTATTTTATTTCCAGTTTCTGGATTGGTTCGAATATGAATTCAAATTCCATGAACTGTTACCAACCTAACAGATATCCTTGTATAGGCTTGCATCATTTCTCTTTAAGTTAACAAAAAAAAATATAAAAAAAACTTTAACTTTATAAATATAATTTCTTCCTTAATATAGAAATTATTATAATAGGACATCTTGTTAGATATAAGGATGACAGGGTAGCCAATGATATGGGTTTATTTTAAATATATTACCACAAGTATCATTTTAAGTATTTTTATCTTGAAAATTATAAAATTGCATAATGGGAACATATCATATTCATTGCATTGCAAGTCTAGTTTATCAAAAATGGGATGTAATGTTGAATAACTGGGCTATATCATGTCATAGTGTTTAACAAAAATGTTAAGAAGAACATTAGTTAGGAATGCCAAAAGCATTTAGTTATAATATTTTTTGAAGCCCGTGCTCTCTGTGTTTTGGAAGAACAGTACCTGTAGGAGGGGTAATTTTCAGGCCGTTTTCCCTTGGTTTATACAAATTTATTTTAGTTCGATTGTGTTGGAAGCTATAAGCTTATTGAAACACTCTCGAATCCGTTCCTGGAAGCAACCAGTACTAAGCAATGAATGTAAAGTTTCTAGCTCAAGGAAACAACGGCTTGCCCCTGACAGGGTTTGAACCTATGCGGTCAGCAATCCTTAGATTACTAGTCTGACGCGTTAACCACTTGGCCACGCCGCCACAAAGAAGAAGGAATTTCAGGCACTTGTTACTGCACATACATACATTAGTAGCAATGCTGTTAATTATTACCTCCTTTATTGATTTATTATAAGTGTCTTATGCTGTAGACAGATTAAATTATATTAAAAGAGAAAAAATCAAAGTTGGGTAAAAATATTCCGAATTTCACCTCAAAAAGTTGTGAATTGAGGGCCCTGGAAGCTTAAGGTTGTTCAGTCCAATCATTATCAAAATTTATATTAGAAAACTGCTCCATTGATTATTATCCATAATTAAATGAATTTTAAGAATAAAAATATACTGGTAATGACTTTACAAAAAAAATCCTTTTATTAGCGTAAATTGTAAATTTATTCCTAAATTAAGTATATTTCTTTGTATGTCATCAATTACTTTTATTGTGTCGCCTCTACGGAGTAGTGGCGACATATAGGGATCACTTCTCCGTCGTCTGTCTGTCCGTCTGTCTGTCTGTCTGTCCATCCGTCCGTCACAAAACTTGTCTGGACTACTCCTCATAAACTACTGGTGCAATTTCATCCAAACTTTACAGGAATGATCAGTACCAAGTCTAGTTGTGAATATTGTCAGCATTTTCCGGTTCAATGATTTTTGTCAGAGTGTTGGCCCTTTAATAATTTTTCATTTAAAAGTTTGTCCGGACTACTTCTCTTATACCACTAATGCAATTTCAATGAAACTTTACAGGATTGATCTGTAGCTCAAGTCCTTGCGCATATTGCAAGGGTTTTCCAGTTGAATGATTTTTGGCCGTGTTATGGCCCTTTGATAAAAAGGTTTCTTTTTCTGTGTGTTGCCAGATACACAAAAGCTTGTCCGGACTACTCCTCATAAACTACTGGTGCAATTTCATCCAAACTTTACAGGAATGATCAGTACCAAGTATAGTTGTGCATATTGTCAGCATTTTCCGGTTCAATGATTTTTGTTTGAGTTATGGCCCTTTAATAATTTTTATTTTTAAAGTTTGTCCAGACTACTTCTCTTATACCACTAATGCAATTTCAATGAAACTTAAAAGGATTGATCTGTAGCTCAAGTCCTTGCGCATATTGCACGGGTTTTCCGGTTGAATGATTTTTGGCTGAGTTATGGCCCTTTGATAAAAAGGCGTTTTTTTTCTGTGTGTTGCCAGATACACAAAAGCTTGTCCGGACTACTCCTCATAAACTACTGGTGCAATTTTATCCAAACTTTACAGGAATGATCAGTACCAAGTCTAGTTGTGCACTGTCCGTCTGTCTGTCTGTCCGTTTGTCACAAAATTTGTCCCAACATGAAATTGGCCATCATGAGGCGACACATGTGATTACTGATCGCTCTTGTCATATGTACCAAAATATTTTAGCGTAATATTATTAATACAGAATCAGGATCCTAAATCATAATCCTGATCTTTTCTTTGTGAACATGGGGTAGGGTTTCATTTGAATAGTTTTTGGGTTTTTGGCTTGATTGTCTTCGTGTTAAAGGCCCATTATGCCTCAGAAAATCATATTTTTTAATTCTTAAGAAATGTCAAATATTTGTTTGAAAATGTTTTAATAATGGATTTAGAGCATTTAAGATGTTCAACAACTGAAGAAAGTAGGACTGAACGTTCAGAATGTGTAGCAAAGGTAGCAAAATGTAAACAAAGTACTTTTACTTCCATACAAAATACTATATTACTATAATTATACCAAATTCCAATAGAGCAAAAGTAGCAAAAAGTTAATGCATATGGCAAACAAATATTTTTTGCGGAAACTGTAATCAGATACCAATAATAAAAAGTTTTTGAGATATAGAATTGAAAGCATTTCGGAGGCATAATGGGCCTTTAAGTATCAGAAAAGGTTGATAAAATATATTAATGGGTAAATTATTTACTGTCTTCTGTTGAAGTATTTATGAGGTATTTTTGAGGTACATTGATGACAGAAAACATGTAGGTGTATTGTTGATTTGTGACCATAAAATTTATATCACTTCCTTTTACCTTTTGTAAACACGGTACAATAAATACTGATTTAATTGACGTAATGTTTTGAAAGAAGTAGAAAATTTTACATTATTTATTTAAACTTGTTTTTAGGAAGGTAAATTATATAAAGGTGTAATCTTTGGTTATATCTTCCTACTTGATTCAAGAAGGCGACAAAATCTAAACATCATATTTGATGCTTGTCTTCCCAGGTTCCATTTTCCACATTTAGCCACCCTCACATTTCCAAGGTTCCATTTTCCACATTTACCCACCCTCACCTCTTCAAGGTTCCCTTTCCTACAATTTTGCCAACCTCAACTCTCCAAGGTTTCATTTTCCACATTTAGCCACCCTCATATTTCCAAGGATCCATTTTCCACATTTAGCCACCCTCATATCTCCAATGTTCCATTTTCCACATTTAGCCAACCTCACATTTCCAAGGTTCCATTTTCCACATTTACCCACCCTCACCTCTTCAAGGTTCCCTTTTTCCACATTTTGCCACCCTCAACTCTCCAAGGTTCCATTTTCCACATTTAGCCACCCTCACATCTCCAATGTTCCATTTTCCACATTAAACCACCCTCACATCTCCAAGGATCCATTTTCCACATTTAGCCACCCTCACATTTCCCAGGTTTCATTTTCCACATTTAGCCACCCTCACATCTCTGAGGTTCCATTTTCCACATTTAGCCACCCTCAACTCTCCAAGGTTCCATTTTCCACATTTAGCCAACCTCACATCTCTGATGTTCCATTTTCCACATTCTCCCACCCTCAACTCTTCAAGGTTTCCATTTCCACATTTTGCCACCCTGGAACTCTCCAAGGCTTTATTTTACAATGTTTATTCACCTCCACCTTGCCATGGTTCCCATTTCATTTTAGGGTCAATTCTGACAATAAAATAGATTATACAAAAAGCCTGACAAATAATTTTTTTCTGTTTATGTCAAAAAACCCTTAGTTGAACCATTTTAAAGTTACAGGTGATATTATATGCATACATGTGAACTTTTTTTGATGTCCAAGTGGGAGATTTTTCTACAAAAAGAGGGAGATTTTAGAATTTGTAGTAAACAAAGAAGAAAGTTCTGACTTCAAAAAGAGGGAGAAATCTTTAATTTGTGAAAATACCCCTTTTTTAGCTCACCTGTCACAAAGTGACAGGGTGAGCTTTTGTGAAAGCTTTTCGTCCGGCGTCCGGCCGGCGTCCGGCCGTCCGTAAACTTTTACTTAAAATGACATCTCCTCATAAACCACTAAGCCAATTTCATCCAAACTTCACAGGAATGTTCCTTTGGTGGTCACCTTTAAAACTTGTTCAAAGAATTTAATTCCATGCAGAACTCTGGTTGCCATGGCAACCGAAAGAAAAAACTTTAAATATCTTCTTTTAAAAAACCAAAAGAGCTAGAGCTTAGATATTTGGCATGAAAGATCTTCTAGTGAGTGTCTACCAAGTTTGTTCAAATAAAAGCCCTGGGGTCAAAATTGGCCCCGCCCCAGGGGGTCATTGATTTTCCCTATATGCATATAGTAAAAACTTAAAAAATCTTCTTTTAAAGAACCCAAAGAGCTAGAGCTAAGATATTTAGCATGAAACATCTTCTAGTAAGTGTCTACAAAGTTTGTTCAAATAAAAGCCCTGGGGTGAAAACTGGCCCCGCCCCAGAGGTGTCATTGTTTTTAACTATATATAGTAAAAACTTTAAAAATCTTCTTTTAAAAAACCCAATGAGCTAGAGGTTAGATGTTTAGCATGAAACATCTTCTTGTGGGTGTCTACCAAGTTTGTTCAAATAAAAGCCCTTGGGTTAAAATTGGTCCCTGCCGGGGGTGGGGGGGGCAAGCAGAGGTCATTGTTTTTCATTATATGTGTGTAGTAAAAACTTAACATCATGAAACATCTTCTAATGGGTGTCTTCCAAGTTTGTTCAAATAAAAGCCCTGGGGTTTAAACTGGCCCCGCTCCGGGGGCTTATATACAGGTCTTTGAAAATCTGGCCGCAGAAAGTGGGAGTCTCCCGCTAAAAGTGGGAGAGTTCAAATGTATGTATGTGTAGTTTAGTAAAGTGTTCATATTATATTTATATGTTATATAACAGATTCCAGTGACCATAGAAGATGACAGTGTATATCCTGCTATAAGATTGGCTTTGAAGGATATAGGATATGCACCAGATCCCCCATCAGGTTAATAAACATATTACACGTGTGTTGTTCTAGCATTCAGCTCATTTGACACAGCATGATTACATAATAATATATTATGTTAACTAAAGGGTTGCTTATTAACTTGTGTTGTATCCTAACATATAAATACCTACACATCACATGATTTCTTTTTTTTAGTTCTCTAGTATATCTTTATGTAGCATATGCAATATTTAACATAGCATGATTACATAATAATATATGTTTACTAAATGAATTTACTTGTGTGGTATCCTAACATATAAATCACAACACATTGCATGATTTCTTCTGTTTTTAGTTCTGTAGTATATTTGTCATCTAGCACTTTATGCAATATTTAACACAGCATGATTGCATATTATAAGTAGCATGTTTTTTTTTAACAAATATATTGTTCACTGGTTAAAGGCCCATTTAGCCTAAAAACTGCTATTACTTAAATTTCTCAAAAAGCATTTTTGGTGTGTCGTATTAATTTCTAAAAAAAAAGATACTTGTTTTGATTTAGCTTGGCCACCTTTTGCTTCATATATTATGTTTTAGCAATTAGCACTGTTATAGTGATTTTCTAGGGAAATTGCCACTTTGTTTACATTTAGATACCTTTATGACAAATTTTTCCACTTTCAGGGTTATTTCCTTCAGTTGATAAGCATTTCACATGTTCTAATTCATTATTACAATATTATGAAATACATATTGTTCTCTTCTAACAGGTTGAAATATTTATTTTATTCTGAGGCTAAAATTAATGTGCCTTTTATGAATTGTAAAAATGTTTTTATAACTTATATAGAATTCTGAATTATTGATCATTTAACAGAGAGTGACTGCTAGTTAATTTACATATGTGGGAATTCTAATAATTTAACACACCTGTGATATTTACATATGTGGTATACTGTTGTATAAGCTCAAACATGATTTCGTTAATTCGTAGAAACATTTACTACATAACTTAGCTTAAAGTGGCGTTCATCTTTTATTTTTTGTTGGAAAAACATTTCTGTGTTGTTTCTTACTAAGTATTTCAAAAAATTTATTGTGGAAAAGGGCAAAAATAGAAGATCTTGTCCGCTTTACAAATTTAGATATTGAGAGCGGACTGGTAGATGAGAGGTATCGAGGGGTTTCCTTATTGTTTATGTATTTTATCGGCAGCAAATTTCATTTTCCACCAAATTTCTTATGATTTGACTATTAGAAATGAGTTATCTACAAATAACATAATTAACGTTAAGAAAAGCTGAAGGCCGCTTTAAAAAAGTTATTTCTATTTTAGCCAACTAGTCTTGTAATGCACCAGTCAAATGCAAACCACATCCCCCCACCTACACCCCACCTCCCTTCTGCCCCAAAGGGCAGTGTCAGGAGATAGCAGGGGATTTTGTTTTGGCACGAGAATAACAATAAAATAAGCAGATTTATCCCACTTGCGGTAGGGGGAATTAGCGGGGATTTTTACTATCTGATTGTACCTACTTTGTATTAATCAAGTCAATATCCTAACTATTTCCAGGTGGTAGATGACTGGGGTACTATTGACCACAATCATGTTACTTGTGTTATTTTTAAATACTTTGCATGATTTATAATCTTTCACTATCTTTGATTTAACAGAATAGGTGATTCAGTATATTTGTTCAATCATAAGTGTTATATCAGAAGTTTTTTATTTAAGTTTATTGTAAAAAATGTGTGTTTCACACATTCAAAAAAAAAAAAAAAATGGTTAATAGTGGATGATTAGAAAGAATTGCAGCTATTCAGACTTATTGTAATATTAATATCTGTGTTTATATGTTGAATAATTCTCCAATTTATTAAACATTTTGATGATTTGTTATGAAATAATGTCTTATGATTTAAATTTGACAATATAGAATGAATATTAATGTCGAAAATAATTCAAAAGAATTCACCCTGTATGTAATTGGGATGTTTAAAAGTATAGAAATAGATTTGATATGGATTTTTTGAACTAGGGTTATGAAAACTAGGTTAAAAGATTAAATATCCAATAATGATTTATACAATACTGGAAGATCTTGTGGTGTAAACACTCATTGAGTACATATGATAACAAACATTCTTGTTTTAACTTGATTGTGATGCAAGTTTTTATGACTTTCAAGTTCACTTCATGTACTAATTAATAATAGTGTTTTATGAAGATAACAATTTCACAATCTTGAAGATGCAACACTTCAAGTATTAGACAAACACTACCCATTTTAGTATTTTTGGGTACTGTTTAGGGCGTCTTTTACTAAAAATGTCAGTAATTCAATAAAAATCAAAGAAATTTGTAAATAAAATTAAGCCACGCCATGACAAAACCAACATAGTACGTTTGCAACCAGCATGGATCCAGACCAGCCTGCACATCCGTGGAGTCTGATCAGGATCCATGCTGTTTGCTTACAAACACTATTACAAGTAGAGAAACTGATAGCTACCAGCATTGATCCTGATCAGACTGCGCGGATGCACAGGCTGGTCTGGATCCATGCTGGTCGCAAACGCACTATGTTAGTTTTGTCATGGCGCGGCTCAATTCAGTTTTCAATATTTCAGATACCACCGTCAATTGAAGATGAGACAGTGTATATACCTATTGGTAAGGCTCTTAGTAAAGTGGGGTTTACACCTGGACGGCCAGAGACTGCTGCTGTGTAAAACTTTATACGATAGTTTCTTAAAATGTATGCAAGCACTTCTGTATGTGAATATGTGTGAACATTAAAGTCCTGAGACCACCATCATTTTCACACCTTATGGTAATTGAGCCCCGTTAGAATGTATCTTAGCACTTGTAATTTGGAGATATGTATTTTTTTTTGTATTTTTTAATATTTTGGTCCTATTATTTTAATCAGAGATTTCGGCAGAGCACGAAATTTTTTACATATTTATAATTACTTTTTTTGCACTTAGTAGTTTTTTTGCACTTAGTAGCACCAGAAAAATAATTATGGGTGCACACTTCTATATTAGATACATTTGTATTAATTTTGTTTGTGGTAATTATTTACAATTAGTAATGTATATTTTGTATCCTCAGAGGAACAAGTATTAACTATATTATTAATATTGTTTAAGATTATTGGTATTTGTTGATGGTACTAACTTAATGGCCTTAGATTGGTAGACTGAGACAGAGATGTCTCTGACTGAGATTAGTCTGTTGATATAAATTATATACTTGTTATGTTTTAGAAAATGCTTAAAGCATTCTATAGCCAGTATATCTGTTGCTCAACTTTGTAAAAAAAATTTTATCAATGTTTTTCTACTCATCATATTTTTTTTTATTTTTATATGGTTATTTTTGTAGCCTATAAGACTTAACCCTTAACCTGCTGGAAGGGACAGTTCTTAGCCACCTGTATAGAGCCAGGCCAAGATGCCAGGCTCTTTACTGGTGGTAGCTCAATTTTTATATTGAAATCCTTTAAATTCTGAATGGACTGTTCCAAATTCAAAGCTGGGTAATTCCATTCTATAAATGCAGGAGGTTAGGGTTAATGTTGTCAAACTCTTGTTATAATAATTGAGCATTGAATTTAATTTTGAATATAGGGTATCATATGAAGTATTGATTATCAATATTTATTGTGGAGAAATATTGTTAATATATTTTTATAGAAAAGTTAAGAAAATTATTACAATGTATTTATTCAGGACAAACTAATATATGATTAATGATATGTTATACCATTTTTATTTCTTTTTTCATATTTTAATTATTGATATTTGTGTACAATTTAATGTTTGGATCAATCACTTAATCACTTGTGTGAAAATTAAAAATCATTCCCTCAATTCTTTTTCCCAAAAATTTTAATTGTGCAAAATGACCCCAGAAAGAAAAAGCGTAAAACTGCTTTTATTTCACAGGGGGTGTAGATCAATATTCAGTGTAATTCTTAATAATCTTTGCATAATATTTATTTTAAGTGTCCCTGTTGATTTATGTAAGAATTCAATTATTTTGTATTTTTAGGCATTTGAATCTCAGTGGAACTCCTTTAGATCTCACTAATATGCAGTGAAATAACAAAACTCATTTCACAGACTGAGTATGACCGACCTTTAGATGCTGACAGTGGTCCTGTACCCCTGTGTAGTCTGACCAGACTCTATACTGTTGGCTTCTTAGTTTTGTTATGCTCTGATTTTGAAATCCCTTAAACCAACATTGGACTGTTCCAACTTCAATGCCGGACAAGTCCATTATATAAGTACAGCAGGGTAACAGGCAGTAGAGTATCTGAAATAATAATTTGTTTCATCATATACATGAGAAAACTGTATATTATGTAGGAAATTACAGATTTCTCCACTCATGACCCAGTGCAAATTTGCTTTTTAACTCTCAATCATTTTTAATCATAATCTAAGCTTATTATCCCCCGCCGATGGAATCGGGAGGGGGATATAGTTTTGGCGTTGTCCGTCCGTCAGAACGTCCGTCCTTTCGTCCGTCCATCCGTCCACCCAAATTTCGTTTCCGGAGTAGTTCTCTGCAACTACTGGCTGGAATTCAACGAAACTTTATGGGAATCATCAATATCAAGAGGAGATGCGCATATCGTCGGCTTGTTCCGGTCCAACGCTTTAACTCAGAGTTATGGCCCTTGATTAGTTATGTTGTATGCATATAGAGTAAAAATCGTTTCCGGAGTAGTTCTCTGCAACTACTGGCTGGAATTCAACGAAACTTTATGGGAATCATCAATATCAAGAGGAGATGCGCATATCGTAGGCTTGTTCCGGTCAGACCCTTTAACTCAGAGTTATGGCCCTTGATTAGTTATGCAGAATGCATATGGAGTAAAAATCGTTTCCGCGCTACTTCTCTGCAACTACTGGCTGGAATTCAACGAAACTTTATGGGAATCTGCAATACCAAGAGGAGATGCGCATATCGTCGGCTTGTTCCGGTCAGACACTTTAACTCAGAGTTATGGCCCTTGATTAGTTATGCAATATGCATATGGAGTAAAAATCGTTTCCGGAGTAGTTCTCTGCAACTACTGGCTGGAATTCAACGAAACTTTATGGGAATCATCAATATCAAGAGGAGATGCGCATATCGTCGGCTTGTTTCGGTCAGACCCTTTAACTCAGAGTTATGGCCCTTGATTAGTTATGTAGTATGCATATAGAGTAAAAATCGTTTTTCGCACTACTTCTTTGCAACTAGTGGCTGGAATTCAACAAAACTTTATGGGAACCTTCAATACCAAGAGGAGATGTGCATAACGTCGGCTTGTTCCGGTCAGACACTTTAACTCAGAGTTATGGCCCTTGATTAGTTATGCAGAATCCATTTAGAAAAATATTTGTTTCCTTGCTACTTCTCTGCTACTACTGGCTGGAATTCAATGAAACTTTATGGGATACTAAGAGGAGATATGCATATAGTCGCCTTGTTCCAGTCAGATACTTATAACTCAGAGTTATGGCCCTTGATTAGTTATGTAGTATGCATACATCTCCTTGGCATTTCCAGATTTTACTATTTAACACAAAGTTATGGCTCTGTTATTGCCCTGAATATTTATCAAGTTCAAAGAATATTACTGTTTGTGCCATGATTAATATATTAATAAAGCCTTATGTCTTCAGTTGTTGTGTTAATAATAACCAGTACTCGGCGGGGGATATAAATTCAACGAATTTGCTTGTTATTTATTTATATGGACATAATTATGATTCTCAGAGTATTGATACTTTTCTAAATGTTATTCTTATTTTATTTGAAAGTTTAGAATTTAAATTTTTTATCCTTTTTTGAAATTATCTGTTAAGTGTTTATTTAAATCTATATATTTATTTAAATCGATATATTTGTTTTCTTAATAGCCTATGCTTGAAAAATATAAATACATGGGAGGGGTACTTCGGGACATCAACTACCAGGGTACTAAATCTCATGCATCTTGTTTCTTATTCAGATGAACAAAATAAGATGAGCCGCATCACAACAAAACCAACATAATGGGTTTGCGACCAGCATGGATTCAGACCAGCCTGCGCAACCGCGCAGGCTGATCATGATCCATGCTGTTCGCTATCAGTTTCTCTACGTGTTATAGGGTTTGTAAGCGAATAGCATGGATCCTGATCAGACTGCGCGGATGCGCAGGCTGGTCTGGATCCATGCTGGTCGCAAACCCATTATGTTGGTTTTGTCATGACACAGCTCAAATGTAAAATTTGTGCTATTTTAATAACTAAAATATTAAGATACTGTCATGTGACGTCTTCTTGAAGATGTGCATGTGTCAAGAAGTACATTATTACGGGGTGTTATTTCATATGTTATTTCGTTTAATGCTGTACAGAGTTTTATCATGTTTATACGATCAGTAAAAGCAAGAATATATTATGACGTATGAAAGTTGAAAATTGATATGAAAGTAACCGAGTCTTGCATAAGTTGTATGTACACTTTATATTGACAAGATCAAATATCTGGCCTGAAAATGTAAAAACTCATCAAAATATAAAAGGCAGTATTTGATTGGATAATAATTGAAATCTCTGTATAATTATGCTATTTCATGTTCCTTTTTAGTTGTCATTATTATATTTCCTACCTGTACATTTTCAAGGTAATAATATACAGACAGGTATACTTGTTACCACTACTGAAATTTAGACATATTTTATCACTTTGTCTAACTTAGATCCAACAGACCTCAGTATGCTCAGGAGGAACAAAAAATAAATAAAAAATTAAATGCAGTTTGTAATAGGCTTTTATTGAACTTCCTGTATATATATATTACTTTTGCCTAATGTATCCATTTTCTATTTAGGTAATATGATAGAGTGTAGGACAAAAGCCCTCCCGTCCAAATATTACATGGCGGACAAAAGCCCTCCCGTCCAAATATGACATGGCGGACAAAAGCCCTCCCGTGAAAATGACTGGGCAGACAAAAGCCCTCTGCAGCAAATACATATACCGGTATATGTACGTTGTATACTTCAATGCACTTTACATATTAAAATTGTAATCACTGAATTTTTGTTTTTCATTGGCATAAGCGTGTTTGTATGAGCTTGAGCACATTCCTGACCTGCATCTGAATAATTAGTGCTAAAATCTTTAAGCGCATATTCACATCAAAATGAAAGGATTACTCCCATGTGAAGTTAAGATTATTAGAGAAATAATGAAAAGAAGTTTAAATTAACTAAAATTAAAAGTCCAAGACATTTATTATGTGCCTTGTAAGGGGTCAATTTCTTTTAAAAGTGACCTTGTTTTTAATGACATTCCTGTAAAAAGTTACCTCATGAAACATTTCAGAAAGGTATATTCTGAATGAATGGTGGTTTTTTTTGCTAATACACAAACTTAGGCCAGTTGAAAACAACAATAAATATTATTTTACAATTTAAATATGTAATTGAGTGCATTGATAAAATATACATAGATATTTTTGTTACTGTGTAATTGAGTGCATTGAAAAAAACATGCATATATATTTTTTGTTATGGGAGGCTTTTGTCCACTTTGTTATTTTCACGGGAGGGCTTTTGTCCGCCCAGTCATTTTCACGAGAGGGTTTTTGTCTGCCTTGTCATTTTTGGACAGGAGGGCTTTTGTCCGGGAGGGCTTTTGTCCGTTTCCCAATATTATGACCATGAACATTTGCAACATTGCTTTTCATTGGACGTTTATATTATCTACATACAAAGCTGTTGTAAATTTATGAATGAATTTCATTTTGTAATAAATAAAGAAATTATGCAGTAATAAAAAC